TGGGGTTAGCGTCCCCATCCCGTAGAAAACTAACTCGCTAAAAAAACGCTTACCAGAAAAAATAATCCAAACCATTTTAACTCTGCCCTGGGAGTTAGAAGGTCTTCATTTAGGGGAATTATGACGCTTCATGGTGAAAGCCGAGTTCCTTCGGAAGCCACGAGGCCGATGCCACTTCTAACAACCAGAGCAAAAATTTTTATAGGTACATGGAACGTTCGAACAATGTGTGAAACCGGGAAGACCAGTCAAATATCAATGGAAATGAGGAGATACAACTTGGCAGTACTGGGAATCAGCGAAACCCACTGGACCCAAGCTGGACAGAAAAGGCTAGCTACGGGAGAGATGCCGCTATACTCCGGTCACGAAGAGGACAATGCTCCACACACTCAGGGAGTCGCTCTTATGCTGTCCAAAGTAGCGCGAAATGCACTTGTAGGATGGGAATCTCACGGATCCAGAATCATCAAAGCATCATTCAAAACAAAGAAGGAGGGGATCTTAATGAATATTATCCAATGTTATGCACCCACCAATGATAGCAACGACGACATTAAAGATCAATTCTACGAGCGGCTGCAGTCAGTGATAGAGAAATGCCCAAGAAAGGACCTCACCATTCTAATGGGAGATCTAAATGCCAAAGTTGGAATAGACAACACTGGATATGAAGATATTATGGGACGACATGGACTGGGACAGAGAAACGAAAATGGAGAAAGATTTGCAAATCTATGTGCATTCAACAAATTGGTCATAGGAGGCACAATATTTCCACACAAGCGTATATACCAGGAGAGGTGCTGACGTAGCTTCAAATCACCACCTAGTTGTAGCCAATTTAAAACTGAAGCTAAAAAAGAACTGGACAAGTGGACAAACAGCAATACAATACAGCCTTCAATACAGCCTTCCTTCGAGATACTGACAAACTCAATGAATTCAAGATAGCTCTCAACAACAGGTTCCAAGCCTTACGAGATCTACTGAAGGGAGAAGAAACTACTATGGAGGACAACTGGAAAGGCATCAAGGAAGCATTAACTTCAACGTGTCAAGAGGTTCTCGGTCTAAAGAAATACCATCATAAGGAATGGATCTCTACAGAAACACTGGACAAGATCAAAGAAAAGAAGAGCAAGAAGGCAGCAATAAACAACAGCCGAACACGAGCAGAGAAAGTCCAAGCACAAGCTGAATACATAGAAGCAAACAAACAAGTGAAGAGGAGCATTAGAGCCGACAAGAAGAAATACGTGGAAGAACTAGCAACGAAGGCAGAAAAAGCTGCTAGAGAAGGAAATATGAAATAGCTTTACGATACAACGAAGAAACTATCAGGGAAATACAGTAAACCAGAGAAGCCGGTCAAAGACAAAGAAGGCAAGCCAATCACCGAAATTCAACAACAGCGTAACAGATGGGTAGAATAATTCGAGGAACTCCTGAATAGGCCGGCTCCAATGAATCCACCGGACATCGAAGCAGCACACATAGATCTTCCTATAGATGTCAATCCACCAACTACGGAGGAAATTAGAATGGCCGTCAGACAAATCAAGAACGGGAATGCAGCAGAACCCGACAACATACCAGCTGAAGCACTGAAATCAGACATCGAAACAACCACAAGCATGCTTTATCTTCTATTCAAAAAGATTTGGGAGGAGGAACAAGTGCCAATGGACTGGAAAGAAGGACACCTCGTCAAGATTCCAAAGAAAGGAGATCTGAGCAAATGTGAAAACTACAGAGGCATAACACTACTGTCAATACCAGGGAAAGTCTTCAACAGATTGTTGCTGAACTGGATGAAGGATGCAGTAGACGCTCAACTTCGAGATCAACAAGCTAGATTCCGTAAGGACTGGTCGTGCACAGACCAAATTGAAACACTACGGATCATCGTCGAACAATCAGTTGAGTGGAACTCATCACTATACATCAACTTCATTGATTATGAAAAGGCATTCGACAGTGTAGATAGGAGGACGTTATGGAAATTTCTTCGACGCTACGGAGTTCCTGAGAAGATTGTCAATATTATCCGGAACTCATACGACGGACTACAGTGCAAAGTAGTGCATGGAGGACAGCTGACAGATGCATTCCAAGTAAGGACCGGAGTCAGACAAGGCTGTTTACTCTCTCCCTTCCTCTTTCTTCTGGTGGTCGACTGGATTATGAGGACCTCGACATGTTAGGGAAAACACGGAATACAATGGACAGCTCAGAATCAATTAGACGATTTGGACTTCGCAGATGACCTAGGTCTCCTATCACGTACACACGAACAGATGCAGATGAAGACAGCCAGTGTAGCAGCAGTCTCTGCATCAGTAGGCCCCAGCATACACAAAGGGAAAACTAAGGTCCTCAAATTCAAAGCGGAGAACAGCAATCCAATCACACTTGATGGCGAAACTCTGGAAGATGTAGAGTCCTTCACATACCTGGGAAGCATCATCGATGAACAAGGAGGATCCGATGCAGATGTAAAGGCGAGGATCGGCAAAGCAAGGGTCGCATTCCTACAATTGAAGAACATTTGGAACTCAAAACAACTTTCAACCAATATCAAAGTGAGAATCTTCAACACCAACGTCAAGGCAGTTCTACTGTATGGAGCTGAAACTTGGAGAACTACAACAACCACAATGAAGAAAGTATAAGTATTTATAAATAGCTGTCTTCGCAAGATACTCAACATCCATTGGCCGGATACCATCAGCAACAGCCTTCTGTGGGAGAGAACAAACCAACTTCCGGCTGAAGAAGAAATTAGGAAAAGACGATGGAAATGGATAGGACATACATTACGCAAATCGTCAAACTGCATCACGAGGCAAGCCCTAACTTGGAATCCTGAAGGGTAGCGAAAAAGAGGAAGGCCAAAGAACACATTGCGTCGGATAATAGAAGCAGATATGGAAAGGATGAATTACAACTGGACGGAGCTAGAAAGGATTGCCCAGGACAGGGTTGGATGGAGAATGCTGGTGAGCGGCCTATGCTCCTTCACGAGGAGTAACAGGCGTAAGTAAGTAAGTATCGTGCTTGACAAATTTGCTCATAGCAAGAGGATATTGGGCTGCAGCAAAAAATCGAAATATTCCTGTGGATATAATTTTTTTAGATCTAAGTAAAGCCTTTGACAAGGCCTCTGCATTCGGTTCTTAAATTAAGAATGGAAAGGTTTGAAGTCTGTTATAACGTCCTCAGTGATAAGAGACGGTGGGCAAGAGAAAATACAGTTCTCTCAGCGCGAGAACCCGTAACTAGTGGAGTTCCCTAAGGTACAAACCTTTGTCCTCTTCTCGTTCTACTTTATGTGAATGAATTATCAACTCTAGCAAATTCATCCGTTCTATTCTTTATCGATGAGAATGATTTGGAGACCCATGCACAGTATGTAAGACAGAATAGTGTTACAGGATGATATCAGCTCATTTGTGGCATGGATGGGCAGACGGTCATTAGAAGCGAGTTCTAGCAAGATTGTGGGGATGAAATTGCATGACTATGATGATTCATGTCACTACACAATACTTAGAATTATGTTACCCAAAGTTGTGGTCTATAAAGATTTAGGAGTCATAATAAACAACTACCTAAAAACTACGAGCAAATACAGAGCTGCTGCTGCGAAAGGCTTTTGGTTATTATGGGCTACTCGTAGGTCTTTTCAGCAATTAGAAAAAGAAATGTTTGGGGTAGTATACCCGACTTTCGCGAGATATCATTTAGCGCGTCTTTGTCTCAAGTATGAGACGGATATTCAGGAACGAGTCCAATGACAAGGGACTAAAAAGGTGTGGTGGACCAGATAAATATGAACGTGAAAAAGTATTAACCAAGTTATTATGAGTGAATAATAAGGTTAATTGTTACAAATACAACAGGAAAGTTGGGACTTTACTTAAGTTCACCAAGTTGCTGTGTATTCGGATTGAGTCTGGTACTGAAAATCCACAATTATAAATTTTTGGTAATTCCGCTCAGGTTGTTGGACTCTCCATTAATGTAAACCGATGTTAGGTATGATATATTCCGACTTACAGTCTATAAGTGCAGATAATGTTTGATTTAGAGTGCAGTTAGCTCAATCACAAGCGAAAGTAGAACCAGGTATGTGTGTATATCAATATATTTGTTAGCAAGCAACAGTATGTCACGCTATGTCAATAACACAACAGAAAGCGTGTTCGAGGTCATTCACTAAAACAACAGGTACAGTCATTTAATGATAAATATACACACAGTGAAAGATTGACAAAATAAATACAAACAATATTAAAAACTGTCTACAAAATAAGCTTGTCAGGTCTATCTCCACATGGCTCCCCTCAGAGTGTCCGGGGGTGACACTGGTTATAATAACAAAAAAATGTAAGAATGTGATATACAGATGTATAGAAAAATAATATTTACACTGGTAAAATGTGTCTCTGGCCTATCTTATGAATATAGAATGAGACACCTCAAATTATTTCCGTTATCTCATCGTAGAGTACAAGATGATCTAGTATTGGCCTACCGTATACTGAACAATGACGTTGGTATTAATATGCCTTATTTTTTTCTTCCGTCTAGGACTGATAATTTGAGAGGGCTTTCTAGGAGGTTAAAAATCGATGTTAGGTCGTTTACGTCTAGAGTTTCATTTCTCTCACAGAGTAGTGAATTACTGAAATTCCCTTCCAGAACACGTAATATCAGCATTTTTTGATGATATATTTAAAACGAGACTGGACCTTCATAGTGCTACAAAGTTCAGGGAATAATTTAAAACTGGAGATAACTATTTAAGTCGGTGAAACCATTTCATTTCGTATATTAGTTGTAATTCGACAACTGCATTCACTATGGAATTGAAAACATATTAGTTTATTCCTTATAGCGATTAACATACATTGGTTTTCTTTGTTTTTTCGTTTCGCAGTGAAGGTCTCAAAACTGAGCTCTTTTTGTCCTTGATACTTTACGGCGTTAAACAGGTAAATGCAAAACAGCAATCTAGTTGACGTTATTTCGTTGAATAATCTGGTGCATATTATTATTCAGATTTTCACAATTTTATGGTTAGTGCTTCTGACTCACTCCTCTAGGGTTGTCAGCGATTCGAAAATCGGGATACAATGAGTTTTTTATACTGAAATTATCTAAACGAAGGTTAATAATCATAGTTCTTTGAAAATTTCTACTTATCGCTGAAACGATCACCTTAACACGTGGTTACACTACTCAGGTACCATGAAATACTCGAGGCTTCTTGAAGCAAAGCATATACTTTGTTTATATGTGCGTTAAAAAACTACTCGTTTTGTATCAGGATGCGTGACCTTACCGTCCAACTAACGTGAATTCTGTACAGTAGTTTGCTGTTCACGAGACCTAACGTATCGCTAAAACTTCTTTTGTACATAATCGATTTGTAGACTATCAACGTTGAAATGAAGTCAGTGTACTAGGCGAACCAGGCATACATTTCAAAACATGTTCCCGCTTAGTAAAATGTAAGTCTTCGAAACCGTGGTAGATCAGAAAAGCAAGGATTATTTGCATTCTCTAGGAATAGTTATATTATTTTGACTTAGCCAATTAGTAGATCAGTTTGAGGGCATCAGGTAAGTAATATGCGGGCACAAATGTCTGACCAGAACCATAGAGATTGCTAAAAATTAGTGGCTTCAATAATTTTGAAGCGTTTGAAATTTCATATTTTACGATGTAAGCTTCAGTTTTACTTGATTTCACTGGACGTTAGATACATAACTTGGAGTTCGTCTTAGTTCTTTCTTATGGTATAGAAATCGCTAATAAATCTAAGACCTTTAATTAACTTGTTCCAAATTTTCCCAGATCGTTGATGTACGCAACATTCCTAAACATTACATTCTTTCACATGTTAAATAAATTAGTAGTTTCTGATACTACAATCTTCTGTGACACCTACTTTCTCGATTCCTTTTATCACATTCGTTCTTTTTACCGGTTACCTCGTGATATGTTCAGAAGCTTATTAACTTAGACTGATGCAATATATATGTTTTCTGTTGCTATAAACTTCGAAACAACAACAGCAGTGGATTGTCAGTCAATATTTATGTCCTCAATCGGGATATTAAAATCTGAAGGGTTATGAAATAATGTGCTGGGAAAATTCAGTCATTGAAAAGTTCAAATGCTTTGATGACTAACCGTAAGGATTTCTGAAATGTTTCAGTCAAGCTCATCGGAAGAAAAATCTAAGAAGGGAGCACATTTTTTTATCTACGATTAGATGTTGTATTGATTGATGTAGGAAAAAAGCCCCCAAATGCCCTGGTACGGCCGAGTGTGGGGAGAGTCCGCTCTCCCTCTCGAAATGCTCTCACATGGCCACGCGTATATAGCCTCTTCCAGGGAAGTCCTGCTCACTGCCTTCTCGTGGCGGTGTTGTGTACGAGATTGAGAGGATAAAAAGCGAACGTCCGGTGCTTTAACCGGGTCGGTGGACATAGAGAGTCCACCTAGGGGAGTTGGGGAACCCTGATTCCAAACCAGTGGTGCATATGGGCTCCAGTATTCTGAAGGAACAAATGGCGTATAAACCAATCGTTTGTCACCGGCTACCATGGGACCGCATCCCCTTACGTTGCTCCACTGCCTTGTGGATCAGACCTTCAGGTTTGGGCACCCGGGCAGTATCACAGCTCTCACATAAACCGAATGATTCATGTGGCGCATATGTATTTGGTGCCTCCTTGTACCAATATCTGTGTTAAAATAAATAAATAACGATTAGATACCAGCGATCCCATTACAGTGGTTCGCTTATACTAAGTTATTTCGGTGGGTTTTCAAAAATGATTTTTGAGTGCGCGACAATAATAATTTCACCGTATCCGTTTGAATCTTCAAAATCTAACTGGGGTTTATGTAATGACTCGAAGAAACAACAAAGGTCACGATGGGCTGAAGACGGTTCGGGTCTCAGATTAACTTATTTATAGTGGTACTCTCATTGTGGCTATTAAGATGATGGCAGATAAAAGTTTAGTCCGGAAATATAAGGCATTTGGCTCTTGTCATCTTGCATCATCAGCAGTGTAATTAAATACTCTTCCGGGTTTTGGCTTTGGTATCAGATTGTATAAAGACCACTCATAATTGAAACAGTTTAAGTCTGCGATGGAGCACCAAATACGAGTCTTTAGACTTCTTTTTCTTCTACCTAATTGCAAAATGTTACTTTGGGATTGATTTGTATCATGACTTACTGGTCTGTATTAGTAAAATAGTTGGTCTCGTTTACCACTTAAATTGTCGTCAGCGTTTCACCACTGCTAATTTATTATTGGCTGATAAAATCTCAGGAAATTCAGAAAGTTCAATTGGCTTTTTCCAACACCGCTCATGAAGTAGGCAAGACGTCTATTTTCTGTGACGATGCAGCAGTTCACTGTATTAATGTGGTCGTAAAAATGGCTCGTGAACTGGAAAACATGTATAAGCTGCTGGAGTTTAACCTAGGTATTTTCGAAGCATTACCAACTTGTGAAACAAGTGAGTAAGCATTGTCAGGGCTAGAACTAGGGCACTAGACGAAGAAAATAAGTTGGTTAATGCGGTGATATATTTTCACTGATTGAGGTGTCTGGACGTGTGCTGCGTATGTCCAACCACTGTCTTCTATAGTCCGTGTTGGCTGAAGCTAGGGACGGCGAAGCCAAAACATGACATCAGTCCACAACGGTAGTGACTGTTCAATCAGGCCGTATTGATATATGCGGAATATCAGGTTGGAGTCCGCTCTAGAACTGCTATCATTTGTTGGAGTCATCAATATATGGCTCAGGATTGATCACTGCCTTTAATTAATACGCATTCTCTTCTCCTGGGTCTTCATATTCAATATTATTCCATGCTTTATGTTCCTTAGATCCGTTCCTTCTTTTTGAACCATATTATCTAATATTTAGTCTTCCTCACTGACATTGTGAGCACCATTACTTCGACTTTCTTGCCACACATCTTGCTAATTTATCCCTTACTGATATAATATGACATGGGTCGATACACATCTGTGGAAGGGTCCGTGTTTATTATGAATAATTGGTTTTGAACTAATGAAACAACTTCGTCTAAAAACTAATCAAAGCCATTCTTGTATATAAAATTTTCCATGGCTTTAGCATTTAGTGTTAACGTTTGACCTGTAACTATGAGTCTTCATCAAACTAAAGATTTTTGGAGTTACTGAATTAATAAACACATATCTACAATTAGTCAGGAACAGTCACAACTTATTGCATTAAGGCTGTGCTTGCGTGTTGATTGATGAGGAAAGAAGAGGAAAGTTTAGGTCTTCAAACTTTAGATATGTCAGACAACAATAATAGATACTGTTACCTGTTGTAGAAACGTTGTTTGTACAATACACGGTGTAGACAAAGAAAGTAGGTACGCTTTAGCATGTGTTGCTTTCCGTTGCCCCTTCCTGGATTCAAGAGTCTTGTCATTAAGACTGTCGTTTTGTCTTGCAAAGTGCAATGTTTTCTATCTTCATGGTGATAGGCGCTCAAGATTCCACATTCTGACAGTGAAGAAGTCTTCAAAAAAACCACCAAATTGTTTTGACACTTGCTATAAAAAGTGGGGAATTAAAACTTCCTCATAACATCCAGTATGGCTAGTTTCCTATTGTCTGCTATATATCACCAGCTATGTTTGTACGTCATTATCTTCAGTACCATTTAATCTAATTTCTAGTCCTTTATTTTTCAGTTGACAACTTGAGTGTCAGTATCTAGTCACAAGCTGCCAATCATATTCAATTTTTATCATTATACCTGGTTTTTTTACACGTAGATCTAGTTAGTTGTTTGTGTTAAAGTGACAGACAGTCCTGTTATTTTACTTAATATTAATCTATTCAGATAAGAATAAAATTGGTTGCTTCATTTGCAGTACGTTACGTCACTCTTGATATTGAATCCATGATTGAAGTACTTGTTATGTACGCCTGAACACCGATTACCACGACGTGCAATGCTGACTAGTGTTAAGAATGGTTGGGAGAAAGTTAGGGGCTGCCAAACCAAAACGTCGCATCAGAGTTTGAAGTCACTAACTTCTAGTCCTAGCCATGTTGGTAGATGCAGACTACTTGGTTGGGGTCCGCGTGACTATCGTAACCAATGATTGGAGACTCTTGATGGCATGGCTCAGAATCGATCACAGTGGCGTCGGTGTATACACTCTCTGTCTTCCCTTAAACTAAGAGATTAAAATAACTTCATATCTTTCTTTCTACGAACTAATTCTTTCTTCCTGTACTATATCCTTATTGCAATCTCTCTTTTATATATTACCACCTCTGAATTAACTACTTTTATGAATCCGGTGTCCACCTTATTGTGTTAATGAGGTATGGCAACTTGGACCGATCCATATATGTGCCTGGTCCTACGTTGTAACTGACTGACTGACTGACTGACTGATTAAAGTACTATATTTACACAAATTGCTTTATATAATAGACTCAACACGAAATTGTGAAAATGGCCACTCTGAGTAGGGATGTGCATCCTCCAGTTTGCTTGATGACTATCATAGTTGTCCAATTATGACGAGTTTTTCATTTTTAAGATCATTAATCTCGAATATAATCTTTAGGGGTATTACTGATCTCCCTTTGTTGCTACCATGATTATATAACCGCTTTTGATGCTCAAATTATTGCTTCTTTCGATGTGTTATTTGTAGTAAATTTGAAAACTATTATGGAAGAGGAAGATGATTGGAGACAGTGTGCTGAATGGTTAAATAGATGTCAAGTTATCCCGGATGATCATCCGGCTCTGGGGCCAGATGGTAATGCGATTCACTTGGTTCAGGCCTTAATGGACGGAGTTGCTTTATGCCATCTTTTAAGTACATTATCAAACCATGAGTTGGATATAAGATCGATGAAAGATTTTAGTCATATGCCACAAAATTCTCAGTTTTTATGTTTTCAAAATCTTCGACTATTTACACAGTTATGTGAAAAAGAATTTGATATTCCCAGAAATTTGCTATTTCAACCTGGTGATATTTATCATGCTAAGAATTTTGGGAAAGCGATTGCAACTTTATCAAAATTATCATACTCAAGAAGAGCACAGTTAACTGGAATACCGTATGTCTTTTATTTCTTCTGTCGTTTATTTCCAAACATAGTGGTTTTCCACCAGAAAATTCAAAGCTACAATCAACTCATGAATATTATAATAATCTTGAGGAAATCGCTGCTGCAATGTAGATAATAAAATTCTATCATTATTGTTTTTCATTATTATAATACATCATTTTAGGAATAAATTACCTGACTCTGGAAAACCAAATTATACTCAAATGGAAGAGGAAAATAAAGAAAAACTGTATGATACAGTGGTGTATCAAGGTTCAAAATCTCGTCTAGTAATTTTTTATGTTTCCTTTTGTAACTGTTATTCCAAATTGTCAAAATAGAATTTGGACTCTGAACCAACAACAGCACGAGCGTATTGTATTCGCGAAATAGTGGATACAGAAAAAAATTACGTAGATGTGTTGAAAATGTTAATTGAGGTAGAATAGAAAGTTGAATTATTTATTAATTAATATCGCAATTTAGAAGTACAAGCATCCGCTTATTGGAGTTCTTTCGCACAACGAAATTGAAGAGATTTTCAAGTACATTGAGGTAATTATTATGTAGAAATTTGAAAATATTCAGTTTACTTGCTTTTACTCTCCAGTTTATCAAAATAACGATACTAGCGTGCTAAGATGATATGGTTTTTTGGATAGTAATTTGAGGCACTGTTCTCTAGAACAATTAAGTGTCGTGAAAAGTAAACATTCTCAGTACATCTACTCTATTTTTAAGATGCATCGTTTACTCCAAAATGAACGTATAGTTTTGGTAACATTAAATTAAAATGCTTACGAGTAATACTCTGTGTCTTAGTATGACTTTTCTTACCCCCTGTCACTAACTCTTATGCTAGTCAGCAGAGTAAGTAGGAGGCTATCGTGGTTATGCATCCGTTTCACTGGCAACTTAAATTCTAGTCCCTAGGTCGTTTTCTACAGTGACAAATCAATACAAAGTAAATTGTTGGACAACATACCCATTCTTCGGTAGTACATCTCAACTTCACATATGGCAGAGTTCGAAAAATTTAAGTAGGACTTTTGTATCTGTGCCACAATTTTATTACTTTTTATTATCCTATTAGTACCTAGATAAGGTTTTCAGAGTATTTTTCCCTTTTGATTAAAAGAGTTTCCTCACTTATCTTTGTCATTTGTTTCTGCATATACGTTAGTTTTGTTATTCCTTCATGTGTGAAACTGGCCTTCTTTTCCACCGATTTTCAGAAAAAATATAGCATACTATAGATCGAATTGGCCAGATCTGAGTGTAGTTTTAGACATTTCTTTCTCCGTATATTACGAATAATAATCTTGATTCAAAATAACATATACCTGAATAAAAGTTTCAGCGCTACAACTCATCGCTTTTCAAGGATCTTGTTACTTCATCAACTCACTTTATTATTTCAAAATAAAAATTAAGAGAAAATCTGAGTCTCATTCTGATTTTAAATCGAATATCTTATGATTATTGATCCACTGCACTATATTCTTAACTATGAGGCTGAACTATTAAGCATGTCTCATTTAAACCTCCATCGCTCCATATGATCCTTAGTTGTTGCAAAAGAGTGAAACAAGCCATTTGGGAATATGAATGCGCTAGCTACCTAGCCGTTTTTCACCGTCGCAGTCAAAGCGGTTAGCTATGAACACTAAGTCAGTCAGTCAGTCAGCTACGACGTAGGACCAGGCACATATATGGATCGGTCCAAGTTGCCATACCTCATTAACACAATAAGGTGGACACCGGATTCATAAAAGTAGTTAATTCAGAGGTGGTAATATATAAAAGAGAGATTGCAATAAGGATATAGTACAGGAAGAAAGAATTAGTTCGTAGAAAGAAAGATATGAAGTTATTTTAATCTCTTAGTTTAAGGGAAGACAGAGAGTGTATACACCGACGCCACTGTGATCGATTCTGAGCCATGCCATCAAGAGTCTCCAATCATTGGTTACGATAGTCACGCGGACCCCAACCAAGTAGTCTGCATCTACCAACATGGCTAGGACTAGAAGTTAGTGACTTCAAACTCTGATGCGACGTTTTGGTTTGGCAGCCCCTAACTTTCTCCCAACCATTCTTAACACTAGTCAGCATTGCACGTCGTGGTAATCGGTGTTCAGGCATACGTAACACGTGGCTTGACCATCTTAGTCGATGAAGACTCACAACCTCATTCACTGATTAACCATCATTCCCTAATACCCTGTGTCTAACTTCACTATTACTTAGCCGGTGATCCCAGCAGATGTGAGCAATATTTCTAAGGCATCTGTGGTCAAATAGTAGTAGCTTACGAGTGTCTTCCACTGTTAATGGCCATGTTTCGCTGCCGTAAATTAAAACAGGACAGACTACCGCGCAGTATACTCGTCCTTTTGTCGATAGACGGATATCTCGCCTTCGCCATAGGTGACGTAAGTTGGCAAAAGCCAAACGAGCTTTTCAAATCCGTGCTGAGATTTCGTCAGACACCAACCCATTAGGGCTGATCAGACTTCCATGAACACAGTAATTAATTTGTAATTGGTCAATCTGTGATGGTTTTAATATACAAACTGTTATTGATAAAAACTACAAATCTACTAATTAGGGCTAATATATGACGTCTCTTTATGCGTAGCTTGGGTTTCGCCTCTCCGAAGCATAATTGTAAATTTTTTGAAAACTAGGAGTATTACATGCACTTTTTGAGTTTTCAATAGAAGGCGTCTTGTAATTGGTGTGTTGAATCATGATTAAATGTCCACCAGTTTTTATCTCTTTTATAATAATTACTGGTTACTTAATTGAGTTTTGGTAAGGATTTAATTCCCGTATCTTTACCCCAGTCTTAGACTGATCATCCTTAACGACACTTCAGAATAGTCAAGTTAATCTCACTGGGCTGAATAAAGTTAATTTGCTTACCATGAAACTTGAAGATAAGAGGTTCATCTATGAAAGTAGTGAAGAGATTGTATTGTTGAATAGTATTAAAATAAGAATAAAGGTGCCTAATATTCCTAAGCCTGAATTACTTCATTGGTAGTGTATACTAAACATAAAAACTCCTTAAATAAATTAGTTCTGTGATACCACTATGTTGAATTTAATTTTTATGTACTTTACAAATGTGCTTTATTCGTTAAAAGTACTATGATTGTGCTATTATCCCAGTGTAATTCTATTTATAACTTTCGTATTTCAAAATTATTTATTCATATTTATGAAACTGTGACTATTTTGGTGTGCGTAAATGTACGCGATTAAATGTGAGAAACAAATATTATGTGTCATCGTATTACTTTGATACTATAAGATTTGTTTTATTTCTTTTCTTATTAATTTATCCAGGAATTACATACTATTCATAGAGAGTTTTTAAGTAATCTGAGTTTGGCAACTAGTGCAACTGTGAATTTCCTTAGTTTAAGTGATGTTTTTCTTAAAACTCGAGATAATCTTCTCATATATGGAGAATATTGTGGTCATTTACAACATGCTCAAAACTTAGTTTATGAAATTATGCGAAATGATGTAGAAAAACGTAACAAAATAGAAGTAAGTTATGATAATTAGTACTGTCATTTTCTTCCTCCTTGTGTACGCGTGAGAGTACTTCTTACATGTTTTATTTATTTTTATCAGATACCTGGGTCTTGAACTGAAGGTATTTAGCATTATCAATAATGTTCTTTACGCAGAAGTACATATTCCATTGCTATATGTTGTATGGTGATGAATATTGTATCGTTTAGTTTTTAGTTATTTTTTATTCATCACTCCACTGAATTCAATAGAGCATAGCACTGATGACTATTTAGTAATCCTATTTGTATTAACAGTTCAACAGCGCTTGACTACGAAATCTCTTTATATTTTGAACTATTCTCAAAACCTCTTGTTGTTAAACATTCCTTGGTGTATGGATCAATAGGAAATGCGAGTGAGTTTTGAACAATCTAAAGTTAGAACAACGCGTTTAAGCGAAAAGCATTGTTTTCAATTTAATCGTCATTAGTCTTCACCCTAATATACATGAATATTTTTATGAGAATTTTAAACTAATCGAGGTGATTTATGAGAATATGATCACAGTCAAATAGATTGGATAACTACACATGATAGGTAGAAAGTACCACTTAATAGTAGATAGACACGTGTACTAGTAATAAGAATAATGAAATAATAAAAGCTCTAGTCAATAATTCAACATAGGAGGTAGGTTACACTTGAATAAATAGATCTTAAAAATAATAATCACAAAGCATCATTAAAATTAAGTAATAAGAAGTATGTAAATGATTAGATATTGAAGAATATGAACGGAAAAAGGTGAAAAAGAACAAATAAATACAGGATATTAAAATTAGTAAAGTCGTGTATTAAGTTACATCCGACCACGAAAGGGAGAGAGGTGTCACAAATTTCTTCTGAACGTATAAACTTTTGTTATAGGTTCAGATCCTTATAACTTGTGCTATGCGATAGATCACTAGAAACGATTCAGCTTTATTCACCATTCACCCACTGTCAACCAGGTGTGTGATGATAGAACTAAGTATTATTTTTGTCTGTCCAAACCAAGCCAGGAGATGTTTACTCATTCTTTGGTTAATTTACCTGGTAGTACCCCCGATATAGCTATCTCAACAGGAGCGGCTGAATTTGTAGATGCACATTGAGCGAGCAAACCCAGGTAACTCATCTTTTATTGATTAAACTGTAAAGTCTAGGTGGATTCAGGGTCATGAATTCTCTTAGTGTAGTCACGGTCCGAAACCTATTTACTTATGATTGGGATTCAATATCCATCACAATCGACTAATTTTTTATGGTTAAGTCGTACGACTTACTTTGTATAGGTTTTATTATTACTCTGATAACATTCTTATCTTTGATACGTGATTCAAACAATGTAAAGATTTGCTACTCCGACTAATGTATATATATATATATATATATATATATATATATATATATATATGTACATTTACATTCACCTTGCACTCACTACTATTACTACTACTGTTACTGCTACTACTACAATCGTAGTTAGCTTGCTCATCCATTTTGCCTCTCTGCTGTCTGGTCCGAATTATCTGCTAAATAAACTGTAGTAGCTGCTTCTTTTCACCTGATTTCAAACACCGTTGAAGATTGTACGATAACGGTTCGAGGGTGATTAGTTATCGAAGCACAGCCACTACACCGTTATAACTTTTTGCTCCCGTAGTGCAAGCTACTCTTTTGATTACAACAGTAACACATAAGGGACAGATTTCTAAATGATTATCTTTTTTAGCAACGGGATGAAGAGCAAGGTTGACTTCGAAGGTTATAGATAATGCGAGATCTAGTTTCAAGACTTGATGGAACAATATATCGATACATGTGGATATTGTGCAAGGTAACGTTTGGGTCCATATTGAAGTGAATGAAACATCAACCAATCCCAAATGCCAAAACATAGGAAGTTCTAAACTAAGTAACCGAATCATTGCTTTAAAGTGTTTCTGTGTAAGTGACTTACGACATGGAATCCCAACATATGTTGGAAAGTCGTTATTATTATTTAGAAAGAGATTATGATAACATCATGTAGTGGAAAAGAGACTGGTAAGTTTTTTGTCAGATTTGGATAGCTACATAGAGAATCTGATTATGTGGATTTTGTGATGAGATTAAATTGTTATATATATATATATATATATATATATATATATATATATATATTCGAGGAATGCCTTGAAATACCAAAACAAAATTTAAGTGTTTAACCCTACATCTTTATAAATGTACTTGCGATTCATGACATCATTAAAAAACTAGTGACGGTTATTTTCAGAAGAATGTTGAATTGGTTGATTAATATTCCTCACTTAAAATCACCCAAATAATGAGTATTTTATCTTTTTTAGCTGACATCTCAATTTTTGGAGACTAGGTTAAAATTCATGTAATTACTGAAATACGTAAAGAATAAATTTGACATCCTCGTTATAAAACAAAGATAATCATTGTTTTTTTCAATGTTCCGGGAATATAGGACAAAAGTATCTAAGATATATTTATACGATCTCTCTAATTTTGATTTGTTTTAATGGTCCATTCATTTTCCATTTTTTAAACAAATCATTCATAGTTATGTCAGTCAAATTCAGAGAAATACAATAAATTCGCTTTGGCTGAATTGCTTACAATACCAATCCAACGCGTTTTGAAATATCATCTTCTGTTAGAGGTGAGCTTGTGTGTTTGATAAGTTATTATTTTTTTAGTATTACATAACATTTTATTTTATTGCTTCTACAAATTTGTTTTCTTCTGATTTAATTTCCCACAACTAATTGAAATATCAAGCGTCAGATTCCTGATACTAATAAATACCGTTTGAAATTTAGGTAAAAAGAAGTGAATAAGTGCGTTTTCTGGGCAATATGTTTCATTCTTAATTTTTTCTAAACCCCTCAAGGTAAATGTGTACAAGTATAACTCCTCATATATCTTGACACTTTCGGTACTTTTTTTCACTGGTTAAATCATTCGAATAATTTTATATGATTTTTAATACCCGAGCAGTGGTTCAGTGGTTAAGGCGTTCGACCTTCAACTACTAGGTTGCTGGTTCGAGTCCAGCCCGCCTACTTCGGTTTGGGAAGTCGATTGTTACTACTACTCCCCACACGTAGAGTATGATTTGATGCCAGGTACAATAATATGTACTTTGTAATTCAGTTGAATCATGTGATATTGTCCGAGTATTAGACTGACTTCGAAAGGCGGAACTTTTTATCATATCATGAAATATTTGTGTTCAGGTTAGTGATCAAATTAGTTAACCTTGGATTGAATATGTAAAACATATGACAAGTAAATCGACTACAATCAAATTTCTGTTTGTATTCTGTTAACACCTGTTGATATTCAGTTTAATTATATTGTCTCGGATCAAATCGTCTTCGGATTTAGGGTATTACCGTAGTTATTTACAATTAATTGTTGCACTCACGATTTGTCTGAATTCCAACAGTCACTAACTTTAGGAACATCTTGAAGTCACTGGTTAACTGACTATTATAGTAGTTTAGTTTAGGTGGTTTTGAGGAGATCGGCTCAATTTGTGGATTGCATTCATCATGAATATTGATCTCATCACTGCACATTCACGACTCCACTAAATGTCGAACTTAGAAATTTTAAATCTTGCGCCAATTCACAATATGAAGAGCCTAGTGGATAAGTGATTCCGAGCTCTGTACTAGAACAAAGCAGTTGTTCAATGCCCCTTGATTTTCTTTGATGTTCCGACTGAGAGTAATCTATGGCGAATCCAGCCTACAAGTTAAAACAATCTCCCCAAAACTCCTTCAATTAGATTATTGTTATCAACTCACTAGTAATTTGCTTTGCTTTGTTTACCTGGAATCTAATTATTAAATATCTGGATTTTTTTGATAGCTTTGAATTTTTTCTGTATGACTTACAATTTTGTCAATACTACTACTACTGCTATTATTATTATTATTATTATTATTATTACTACTACTACTACTACTACTAATAATAATAATAATAATAATAATAATAATCAAAATTGTGTTCAAGTGTATGGGATTCATAACTGTTACTATAAAAAAACGTGAGTATGTCTTATTTCTTACATTGTCCCTACGTTATAGTAAAAACTCAAACAATGTCTCAGTTGTTTTCAGTTTTTTTTCGGTAAACGTTGATGTCTTCTAGAAAGTACATTCAACTACTGAATCATTTGAATACATTTTATTGGGTTCACTGTTATTGGTCATAAAGCATTTTCAGATCAATAAACTATACCAGTTCCAATGAATAAAATAAGTACTTTTCTTAAATTTCAGCATCTATGTAAACTCACTCCAGCTGATCACTATGATCGTCCTGATCTAACTGTAGCTCACGAAGCTATGCGTGAAGTTGCATTATCTATCAACGATGTTAAACGAGATCTTGACACGATTAGCTCGATTGATCAAATTCAATCCAGGTTTGTTTTTTCACTTAATCTATAGATTATAACCATTCAATCCATTTTTAGATTATTAATTAAACTTCACCTTTCTTGATGAGTTATTGGTTACTTGTGATTGTTAAATAGTAAATTATTATCTATATATGTTGCCTAGTTAACATAGTTGTTTTGACCTTATAATTGTAAATGTGTTCGATTGATACTTAGGGTTATATGGAATAATTCTACCGATTCAATAGGTTCTAATCATACAAAAACGTCAAATGCGAGTTTAAATTAACTTTTAATTGTAATAATTCAGGAATCATAATCTATGATATTAAAATGTAAATATTTTTTTCATAGAGAATTATACCATTGGTTTAATCCAGGTCGATCACTTAAATCACTGCAATTTACTGGATAAATAATCCAAGCCTAAAAAAAATCGATTTTTAATTAGTCATTTGAATTTCAGTTATGGATATGCTTTGTGTGAGCGCATATGCAATCACTATACATCATATTGAATCTTTAAACTGTAATAATGATAGGTTAGAATACTACAGTGTATATTCGTTTTGCAAATTCGTGAGTACTTTACAGCATTTGTTAAATTTCGCTTCAATAACAATCAGAGGTAGTAACAGTTTTATTGGTAGTAGAATAGATTAGGCGGCAAACAAATGGTTCTAGAAAATATAGACTAAAGGAATAAAAAATTTATGAGATAATTTATAGACTTAAAATCTAAGGGAGGACGAAGGGTGATTGTAATTGAGCTAAGTCACCCGAAGTCTAACCATTGATCACGATTATCACTCATACCCTAACCAGGTAGTCTGCATGACTCAGTCCAACGGTTCGCATCTTCATTAACTGACTCCGTGCCTTGTTTTGACCGCCCCATAGCTTTCTTTCAATCTACTCTCACACCAATTATTATCTCTTTAAGTTAATTAGACATGTGTGTGAATAAATTCTCATCGCTCATTTCTTTAAAGTTTGTTTTCATGATATCACATATATGTCTATTGTTGGCTTACTTCCAAATAGCCATTATCATATGGAAAATTCCATTTGTCATTTATTCTTTTGTTCATAAATCAAACTAAATTCGGTATTTCAATAATACCTAAGGTGGCTTTGACAATTTAAAACAATTCATTTATTATATAAATTAGTCATTTTTCTCTATTTTATGTGCTGATTTTTTACCTGCTCCATATCTTTTGTTTCTTTCTTTCGTTATCTTGATAGTTTACTTGAAATAATGCTGGTGAGTAGTAGTAGTGTGATATTTTCATGACTTTTAATTATATTTGATTGAATTTTTATCAAATGATGTATTTGCGTACGACATCCGATTAATAAAATGATCATTTACTAAGTGATAATTGTCATAATAGTAAATTTTTCAACTTTTTTATTATTGACTTTATTGGTCGTTTGATCTTGAAAAGTGATTTGGTGTGATCAAACTTCGAAAATTCAGTCTATATCTATGCTTAAAATAATGACAGTGAAATAGAAATAAAGATGATCCTGTATTATAAAAACATCATGTGACATACTAAGAATTATGGATTGAAACGTATTCATTAGAAAAAAACAGACCAGCGCCTAGATTCACTAAATAATAGATAGACAACAAGGAATTTCGTCAATCTGTTAATTATTTCTATATAGTAGTAAGTTACTTGCTGTGCACCCTACTTTATTAAATAATGATCAGAGATTGAAGGCTATTTTAATTTTTCTTAAAAAGAAGAATACACTAAATGATGCATCCAAAAGAAATTTCATTCATATAATCTGTTGGCGGGATTAAAGCGTGCTCAATGCACGATTGCGTTGGCGCGTGCTGATTAGCTAGTTCTTATTCAATCAGCGCTAGTCGATACTTGGAGGACACTCTAGAATCTTCTCATGCAAAAACTATAAATATACTAACGGTTTTCCTATTGTGCTCCTTACTTCCATCTAACCTTGTTATTTGGAATATAATCTCTTTCTTGTCAACCGTGTTTTGATTTGGGGACTTGTCGAGTGAATTGGTGTCCAAGAAAACTAAACAATAATAATAGCTGGATTGTAATAAAAGAGAATCATAACATAATCATTATGATTAAACAACTGTGACTGTTAATTTTGCAATGCTATCTAATTGAACAATAACAGTTTCAACTGATGAATATAGTCAGTTTCAGTTTATCTTGCCATAGTAAAAACCAATAATAAGGGAAATCAATCGTGAAATAAATGAATTACGATTGTCTAGTGTTGAAATTAATATCATCTTATTGTTTTCATGAATACTATTGGTTTTCTTAGTATAATGTTCCATTTCAAATAATCACAAAATTTTTTTTCTAAAAATAAACTATTACATGAAATTAATTTTTATTCTTCTCTGTTATTTCCTGATATGTTTTACGTAATTTATTAGAGAAATGAAAATTTTATTCACTTTTTCTCACAATATTAAGATTGATTAATCACTAGTTTTCATGATTAGTTTTAGAATTTAGTAAAGGGATATGCAATTTAATTCAATTCTTAGCAATCAATTCTTTTAATTCTTTATCATATTGAATGTAAACAAAAGAGAACTGAATTGTATGCGAAGATAAATTTCTTAATGTCTGATTAAAGATGGTTGTAAGAATTCAAACAGTAAATAGACAGGTGAAAGGAAGTGACCTTGATTAAGTAACTGATCCATTTACTTATTATAGCTTGTTCACATCGTGTGACTCGTAAAATCTTTTATTGTTTGAATATTATATTGGATAGTATATCGAGAAAATATTCATTAAAGTTATAAGTGAATAGTTTCTGTTTGTGAGAGATATCATGGATAAAGTAAATCCAAAAAGAGTTTAGGCAATATTGGATTGATTCGTATTAAATGAATGCTTTCAAAAATATATTTACACACAGAATGATTTTCATCATGAGCTGATATCAGTTGGTGACCCATTAAAAACCATGTAGTACACCTAGTTGTTTTATCCTAGTATAGGATTCCATAACAATAAATATCTGTAACGTCTCCAGAAAGCGAACATAGCGTGATTAACAGTTTTCATTACAAGTGCGTTAAACTGTTGACTACTAGGTTGGTGATAATGTGCATTTCCAGCATTAATCAGTTTACGATAATCTGAACAAAATCATTACTTAAAATTCTACTAATCATCGAAAGTTTTAAAATCTAACTCTCAGTTTTTAAATATTTATTACAAATAAGTCCTAGTAATTCTTATGAAGTTGTGGATATTTATCTGATTGGGATTCTCGTGATTATCTTGATCACTGGTTGAAGACGTTCAATAAAATGAGTCAGAATCGGTCACAATAGCGCAGATACATTCATTCTTTATTTTTTATTTCATCTTGGATCTGAAAATTGTCTTGTACTTTATATTCCACGAATTTAACTTTTCTTCTCTAATCACATTGTCTGCCTTTAATATTTTCTACTACCACTTATATTGCTATTATTGATCTGGTATTCATCTTAACAATTTAATCTCGCCCTGCTGATTTGGTGTTACAACTTAGTCTATTTTTCTTTCAATACTCAGTTTAGTCTCTAATCCAATTTCAGTATTGCGCCAATTTAAACGCGAGGAGAACGTTTTAGTGGATTAGCATTAGATACGCGTATTCATAATCAGCTTCATGCAGTTGAACTACTGTGTTTATGTTTCGGAAATGCAAATTTCTGTTACGTCACATTTTCGGCTACAATAGTAAAAATAACATGTTTCTGTTCATCATTATTACATAATTTAGCGTAATCGTTCTAGGTATAGTCAAATACCAGAAAGATATTCAAATATATCGGTATTATACTTGTACTTTGTAGGTCATGTAAACGTGGTTTTCAGATGTAATGCTAATGGTTTAATTAATAATCCAAGTTCTCATTTGATCGCATCCCTCTCCCTATATATATAAGCGCAAAAGTTACAATATCAATAATTTTCGGCAAATAATTACTTCCCACTAACTTGCTTTTGACTGAGTAAGTAAATGTGAATTACATGCACCATCACTTTTTATTTCCAGTTATATTGTGTCATTTGTTAATTTTTCAGCCTCCAGATAAAAGGTTATCAAGTTATGGGCACTTGCATATGGATGGAGAAGTGAAAGTTCTTTCTGAATCAGAAAGCAAAGCGAAAACTAGGTAATATAACATTGTACTAGAGTCAGTTATGCAATGAATTTCGATTTTATACCTTCAATGTATTGATTATGTTACGTTATTTTGTATATTGAATTATTTTATGAAAACATTAATAATAATATCGTACCCATAAATCTACTTCTCAAATCGACTTACAAGTAAGTATGAAAGATGCATCATGAATTTCACTGCTAGTCTCTGTCCAACTTTAATAAAATTTTGTAATTAAATGGAGATTTCGAGGCAATCCATTCAGGGTGCAAATATGTCAATAATGACTAACAAGTTGAAAAGCAGCAGGACCCGACAACATACCAGCTGAAGCACTGAAATCAGACGTCGAAGTAACCACAAGCATGCTTTACCCTCTATTCAAAAAGATTTGGGAGGAGGAACAAGTGCCAATGGACTGGAAAGAAGGACACCTCATCAAGATTCCAAAGAAAGGAGATCTGAGCAAATGTGAAAACTACAGAGGCATCACACTACTGTCAATACCAGGGAAAGTCTTCAACAGAGTGTTGCTGAACCGGATGAAGGATGCAGTAGATGTCCAACTTCGAGATCAACAAGCTGGATTCCGTAAGGATCGGTCGTGCACAGACCAAATTGCAACACTACGGATCATCGTCGAACAATCAGTTGAGTGGAACTCGTCACTGTACATCAACTTCATTGATTATGAAAAGGCATTCGACAGTGTAGATAGGAGGACATTATGGAAACTTCTTCGACATTACGGAGTTCCTGAGAAGATTGTCAATATTATCCGGAACTCATACGACGGACTACAGTGCAAAGTAGTGCATGGAGGACAGCTGACAGATGCATTCCAAGTAAGGACCGGAGTCAGACAAGGCTGTTTACTCTCTCCCTTCCTCTTTCTTCTGGTGGTCGACTGGATTATGAAGACCTCGACATCTGAAGGAAAACACGGAATACAATGGACAGCTCAGAACCAATTAGACGATCTGGACTTCGCAGATGACCTAGCCCTCCTATCACGTACACACGAACAGATGCAGATGAAGACAGCCAGTGTAGCAGCAGTCTCTGCATCAGTAGGCCTCAGCATACACAAAGGGAAAACTAAGGTCCTCAAATTCAAAGCGGAGAACAGCAATCCAATCACCCTTGATGGCGAAACTCTGGAAGATGTAGAATCCTTCACATACCTAGGAAGCATCGTCGATAGACATGGAGGTTCAGATGCAGACGTAAAGGCGAGGATTGGCAAAGCAAGGGCCGCATTCCTACAATTGAAGAACATATGGAACTCAAAACAACTTTCAACCAATATCAAAGTGAGAATCTTCAATACGAACGTCAAGGCAATTCTACTGTATGGAGCTGAAACTTGGAGAACTACAACAACCACAATCAAGAAAGTACAAGTATTTATAAATAGCTGTCTACGCAAGATACTCAACATCCATTGGCCGGATACCATCAGCAATAGCCTTCTGTGGGAGAGAACAAACCAACTTCCAGCTGAAGAGGAAATTAGGAAAAGACGATGGAAATGGATAGGACATACATTACGCAAATCGTCAAACTGCATCACGAGGCAAGCCCTAACTTGGAATCCTGAAGGGAAACGGAAAAGAGGAAGGCCAAAGAACACATTACGTCGGATAATAGAAGCAGATATGAAAAGGATGAATTACAACTGGAAGGAGCTGGAAAGTATTGCTCAGGACAGGTTTGGATGGAGAATGCTGGTGAGCGACCTATGCTCCTTCACGAGGAGTAACAGGTGTAAGTAAGTAAGTAAGACTAACAAGTTGAAATCCCTAACATCCACAAGCTCTTGGAAATGATTTACATTATGATTTAACGGTTTTGGAATTGTTAGTACTGTTATTATTTTCTCTGTTTAAACGATTAGTAATTATGGTTTATTATGATTCAGTAAGTTATAATAAATTTGAAGCCTTCCACAAATGTGCGTTGACCCAACTGACCCTACTACATCAGCTCAACAAAATGAAATTATCAAACAGGAGAGCAAACAAGTCGAAGTAATTTTAATAGTAATGATAGTAATAAACATTAAGAATATGGTTCAAGAAGACGAAATTAAGTAATATATTTGAATTAACACTGGAACTCAAGACTCACTTAATTACACATAAATTTGGAGGCCATATTGCACTATAAACAATGAATATTCATATTTCAAGTTTGGGACTTGACACAGGTTAATGAATTATTTACTGAAATTAACGACCGGAAAAAAACTAGCAATGGTTAATGAGTTAAATAAAAGGTTACAGTTAGATTAGTGTAAAAATACCATTCATCAATTATTTTATGAATACACATTAAAGTATTTATGGTAGTTCACCGCAGAACAGCTTCCATAGTTTGTTATTTGCATCTATTCGCCCAATCATAATACAATCACAATGTATTGTTCCCAGTCATTATATTATCTCATCTATTCACGTTGCTTGCATAAATTTATCTCGACAAAACCCAACCTTAACAAAACTGGCTAGGGATGACAACGGGTTGATTGGTAATTTGACTAAGTTGGCCAAAGCGAAATCTTTTTAAGAGGATAATCATTGAAACGGTAAAATATTTGAGGTAAATCGTTGTTCATTTCGTCTACACCGTAGTTAGGTATACGATTTGAGCTCACAGTAGATTAGAAAGGGTAAAAAAGTTCAGTTTTAGGTTTTATCAAAGCTAAAGATTTAGTCGAGTTTCGATCGTCTATATACATAAATCAGTCTATCAGAAAAAGACTTTCAAATAGTCTGTTTACTATGGTCTTGAATGTTTACTTTAGAAAAACTATATTCGAGTGCATGTTTTTTTGTACTCAGTCAATACTCATTTCCTACGTAATTTGTAACAAGTGTTTTCTAACCATTTTCTCGAAATTATTTTCATTTATTATTCACTTCTCTTAAGTTATGAATTTCAGCAAATAATGATGAAATAAGATTGATTACTCGAAGTTGATATATTTTATAATCCAAAAAACATTCACAGATTACAAGTAAAATGTTAATTTTAACAAGTTTTTACACATGATTTTATTCCTATTAAAGGTTGGAAGTAACTTATTATTCAGAATGAAATAAATTATTATAACCAGTACTAATATTTGCATCTTAATTTTAAATTCCTTTATTTAACACATTAAGAAGTTCTGTAACTAATATCTATTCCCCAACCGCTCTCTTCTTTGAAATGTCAATTAATGGTTTAATTGGAACAATTAATAAGTATAATCTCATCACTCAACTACATTGGGAAATGTTGCACTTTTTTGATAACGGTGTTCAATAGATGAATGGTTTTGTCAGGATTTAGTTTTATGACTTCGCACTTCAGTTATTATCAAAAGGAGGATGTTATTGGCTACTTTACTATACTTTGGCCTATTCAATTTTTATGTGGTATTGTAAATTTCATTCACTGGGTTGTGCAGATCAGCATCCTGTTCTCTGTCTTCTTTTTGGGCAACTGAGTAGCATCGTTTGAGTTTATATAAAACTTTGTGACTAAATGTTGGCTACGTAAATCTGTATTCGATACCAATAACTTGAATGTAGCGCAAAACATTGAATTATGAATCAGTGAAATGTGTGTATATGTGTTTCTAAAATGTTTTTATTGACTTTTCTCACTAGATTTGTATTTCCTGTTTATTTTCTTTGTCTAATTTGCAGATATTTATTTTTATTCGATAAAATATTGATTGTATGCAAACCGAAGGTAAGAAATTATTCTAAATAGTTGTACACTCACACTATTATTATTTTTATTACATTTGTACAACTGGCTATCAGTAGTGTGTGATTTTATGGATAGGAAAAGACCATCTTCCTCCCTGGAAAATTTCTGTATGTGTTTCACCATTTGTTTCTGTTTCTACTACTTACTGTAGAGCGAATAGAATAGTTTTTAAAAAAATGTTGAAGTGCTAGTGACATGAATCAATTTTTACGAAATCTTTCATGATAGTTATTGCGGAGATTAATTTGCTTTTTAGATATTATTCGTCTCAAATTGATATTTAAGAGTAGCATCGGAAACTAAGCAACATCGGTCAGCTGTTTCGTCGTAGTATGGGACTATTAAGGTGTCCTCACTTATTGACTCTTTTGGAATTGAACCCAGGTCATCGAGGTATTATAGTGGGCATTTAGTTGGGATCCAGTAGTTTTCATTGCCAAGTTTAAGTCAGTTCATAGTATAATACGATTATCGTTATTATTCGTACGTCTCACGATGTTCTGGTCGCTCTTCGATGTTTATCCATTAACGTTAGAAGTTGGTTAGATACATTATTATAACGTTGTATTGCGTGGTAATTGTATTTTTTCCTTACATTATATCGAGAAGTGCCGGTAAAGTGATTGAAATTTTAATGAGTAATCATTTTTATTAGGTCATCTAGTGTTAAGTATATGAATCTTTTTTATATCGTAGTCTGTTACACCGATTAGAATTGGAATGCCTGTCAGCAGAAGGTTGAGAATATCGAATTGAAGAGAACAGGAATGTAAACAGAGAGTTATTGTAAAAACAACGGGAATGAAGGAATGATGAATTTTGTAAGAGACAAATAATGGAAGATGTGCAAATGCAGTATTTAATGCATGGTTTTCGTATTTTACGAAGACCTGTAATTTTTTATTAAACAATAAATTGGTCTTCCCCACCTGAGTGTTCGTTCACTACATAAATAATATTCTACGTTAATAATATTTATCAACAGTAGTCATTTAAAGTTGAAAATCAGCTTCAAAAATCTAGTTGTATATCTATTTGCTATGATACTATCATCCTGATAATCATCGCTAACCTTATAGTTGTTAAATTAAATGAACAACCTGTTTCATTTCATACACTCTATTGCATATAAACCAAACATATATCTTTATTTGGCTAACATAGGATCAAGTGGTATCAAAACACAGAGATCATGTGATTAAAACGAAAAATACTGCGTTTAGCGTATGATATTGGTATTACATTAGAGAATAACTCATCTGAATCTCATCTATAAATTATCAGACATTTTATGGGTTACCTCCATGTACTTAACCGTATAATACGTTAGTTAATAGTTAAGGTAAATCACAAATGAATATCCATTTTTTCATTATGGCGATTTAAAATCAAGTGTTACTGGCCAAGTACTTTTTTAGGATAGTGTAAAGAATTTATTGACTACGATCAGCCACGATAATATATCTAGTGAGGTTATCTTAAAAAGAAAGTTCTAATATATATGCTTAGCTAATTGCTTCTTGCATGCATCATAGAAATATATCAATCATGTGATTTAACATTATTTCATTGACATTACTGGTGTTTGTCTACATAAGCGTGTGTATAGAAAAGAAATGCGAATAAATGCTATTCTATTCTAACATCTGAAAGGGGAAACCGTTAATCGTCAATCAAAAAAGTAATTCTATTCAGGCAAAAGTAAAAAAATGTTGAAAGGTTATTCTTTGTTCACGTGTACACTTAAGATATCCACTGTGTAATTGCAAAAAGAATGTTAATTTTAAATATCTAATGCCTCTTTATGTAATACTGTTCTCCTTTAGTCAATTACGATTGATCCACCACAACATAAGTAATGCAAATTTTTTTTACAGACAAACAGTGAATTGAGGCGGACTCCACTTCGGAGACATATTATATGTTACATGTTTCCAAATATTGGTCTGGATAACCACGAGGATTCAAACCATACTTGCGGAACATTAAATATTTCTTTCTTTCTTGTATCTAACCTGATTAGAATTTAGCGATTTGATGGTTCATTGCTGTATTGTCTTCTCTCAATACCATGTTCGCTTTCCACTTCATTCTTATGTATAAAGAACATACTCTACATTGTGATCAGAAATTGATGACAGCTAACAAATCTCCAAACCAATTCTGTATATACAGCCTATTATTAACTCTGTAATAGCATTCATCCCTGTTTAGGTTCTTTTAATGTGTTCTATGCATGTGGTTTTTGACTACAAAGTTTGCCGTTAATCGCGAAGTTTTAATTTTCGCTAACATCAATGAATAAATATTCTCAGAAGGGGTTTGTGGAGATTTTAGAAAATTTCACAGATTGAAATCATGAGTCAGTTGAAGCTAGACCACCATGGAAAACCTGGAAGCACTGGACGGCCGTTTCGTCCTAGTATGGGACTCCTCAGCAGTGCGCATCCCTTGGATGCCGGCTCAGTGGTCTAATGGCTAAGTGCTCGCGCGCGAAGCCAGTAGGTCCTGGATTCGAATCCCGCGGGGTTCGGGATCGTGGATGCGCACTGCTGAGGAGTCCCATACTAGGACGAGACGGCCGTCCAGTGCTTCCAGGTTTTCCATGGTGGTCTAGCTTCAACTGACTCATGATTTCAATCTGTGAATAAATATTTGTTAATTCCCCTAGGTACATTTGTAATACTTTTGTCATATATTGTTAACAAAAATGTGAATAATTGTCACTTTCACTGATTATTAAAGATATTTTCCATATTGCTTGTATTGTTTTGTCCTTTATTCGTTATTCTTTTTTATTATATAGGGTGATAGTTTTACATTTATGTTCGCTTATCATGTTGTAAATGGCCAATTCCAACGAGTTACTTTATCAAATAAAAAGGGAGTAAGTTTAATTTAATTAAGTATTAAAATCTAAAACAGTTATTTACTTCAATATCATGATTGATTGATGTGTTAGTTTTTGTTAATTGTGTAATACTTTGGTTAATAAAAAGAAAATAACTAAAAATATGGTTAACAATTGTTTGGTGTTCTTTTATCGCTACATTACTGCTGTGATTCACTGATTATGATCGCGTGTCACAAAAACTTGTATTAAAACATAAATATAATCTTCAAAGACTTATATGCCTCTAGTTATTTGTTCCTTGAAATTGATTACTTCAGAGGTAATTTTCGCGATCCATCAACAAAAATAATACGTATAATAAGTAATGAAGATGAACTGCAGAGTTGTTTCCCGACATATTTGGAGCCTTTCACTCATCCACAGTGTCTTCTTATTTAAAATCTTTACCACTTTATCTTTCATATTAAGCACTTTTCAGTATTATTTCTTTAAATTTAAATCTAATGGCTGATAATTTTCGCCTACATCTAGTTAGTGATATAATCCAAGGTCATTTCACTTGTCTTACTAGCAGGGTTTCGTAATAATGCGTTAGAAGTTTGTTTCTCGTTGTGATTTAACAATAAATGATGAGTGGCTAATTTTGTTAATCTAATCCCGTTGACTCGATCTGCCTAAAATAGAATGTTACTGTTTACCACTAAGTTAAGTGATGGAACTCCAACTGTTTGACTTCGATCTGAAAATTGGAAATGTTGCATGTAGGGTGTTAGAATAATGATCGCGTATACTTGGTGGATTAATATCCATAACCTCACAGTCGTCGCTTACAAGTCAACCACAAACTTTGACGTTATTCATCCTTTTCTTGTATTAGACACCTGAGCATTACCTTCGAAACGGTAATGATTTCATACTTCGTATTTTTTAAAGGCTGTTTCTATTTTTCATATCATCTGTAAGAAAACCACTCTGTGAAACGAAAACAAGATTATATATGGCCCTCAAATGCCCTGGTACGGCCGAGAGTGGGGAGAGTCCGCTCTCCCTCTCGAAATGCTCTCACATGGCCACGCGTATATAGCCTCTACCAGGGAATTCCCGCTCACTGCCTTCTCGTGGCTGGGGTGTTGTTTACGAAAATGAGAGGACGAAAAGCGAATGTCCGGCGCTTTAACCGGATTTCAAATCAATGGTGCACATGGGCTCCAGTATCCTGCGGGGACAAATGGCGTCTGAACCAATTGTTGGTCACCGGCTCCCATGGGACTGTATCTCCTTACGATGCTCCACTGCCTTGTGGATCAGACCTTCAGGTCGAAGGCTCAGGGAGTGGCCCCCTAAGAAAACCACCTGCTTCGGTTTGGGCACCCGGGCAGTATCACAGCCCTCACACATATCGAATGAGATTTGTGTGGCGCATATGTATTTGGTGCCTCCTTGTACCAATATCTATGTGTTAAACTAAATAAATAAAAAATTTCCTTCTATCATTAACGTGCGTAAAATGATCACAGAATTTGATTATATTTCAGATATTAAGGGATTGTGATGATCATGATGATGGTCGTTCATGTAATTCTAGTATATGATGACTGTATTTGTTTACACATATTTCATATGTAGGATATTTTTGGCAGCTTCTCATATGGACTTTCCAAAAATCAGATTATTTTATTGCAAGCAGTTTCGACTTGTTATCATCACAAAATCTCTGTCAATTCGTTGCTTTTCCTAAGGTTACACTCATTTCATAGTCAATCTCAGTACTGAGTTCAATTGAAGTGGTCTATTTTTTTCCAGTTTTATGTAGCAATATGGTTATCCCTCGTGGATATATGCTTACACATATAACTTAAGTAATCATGCATATTTTAAATATCACTGAAGTGGTTTAGATTTGTACTAAAACTAGTCACAATATTAATGTATGTGAATAGTAACACTTATTTGGATGTTCAGGACTTATTGTAGAATAAAGACTTGAAATTATCATGGAATATTGACACAACTGAAAACGACTTATTTTTGCATTACTGCTAGCTGATCGTACCATCTTAAGAGTTTGTCGTCTCTATTATGAAACTATTTTTTTCCGATGTCTTTTGACTTAATACTCTAAGCTTTTGTTTCTGCTATCAAATTTGTGTATAAACTAATTATAGTGGATGATAATGGCTAGCAGTAGAATCCAGGAAACGCATTTCGTTCTATTTGGGACTAGTTAGCAGAGTGTACCCTCATCCTGGTGTTTGATATTTGCAATCCAAATATAATAACTACAAGGTTATACGGAGGAAATCAGGTCAGTGTGCAATCCCTAACAATAATAACAACGAGAAAATACAAAACCATACAAATATCGTTAGAATGATGGGAATATTCCTCATACCATAGTTCTGTGTCCACATTTATGTGGAAAAAAGCGTCAGATTCATACTTATCCTCGTCTTGTTACAGGTTCGCACTAAAAAGATTCCAAACACTGAAGTTCTTGTTTTTTGTTATTCACATGTAAATTACTAGTCACAAAATAACTACTTGCATGTTGGGTTCACTATAATTGACCAATTTAAAAGCTTTTTTGTTGAATATAGGTTCAGGTTTATACCGTCATATCGTTAATCAAACGAAAATCTCTACTATTATCTTAGCAGAAGAGTTCCCATAGATTACCTATCTGAAGCATAAAGTTTTATGTTTATTAAGAATTAGTGATTATAATTTTGGCCAGACTAACTGTAACTGGGTTGTTTTGACAATAAATATCTCCCCCACCCTATAATAGGCAGATTAAATGGTACGATATTATCACTTCATTTTACCATTCTTCTTACTGTTAAACTAGTTTCCTCGATTACATTTTCTGAAGTTGATAAGTTTAGTGACATCAAGTTTGAATTATCTTACAATACATTACTTTAATGTATAAATATACTAACTGGATTTTGTTATTAAATTTAAAAAGCCAGCGAAGTATTCGTAAATACATTAAATTGTTCTGTTTATCACTGAAAAATTTCAGTAAGAATAAACTATATCCTTTTATTTAGTACAATCTAATTTCAATGTTATGGAGCGCTGTTACAAAATTAACATATCAGTTAGATAATTGAGCTACATTAATTGCCACTGTATGGTTATTTCATTCATCCCCCACAACAAATAAAATTAGTGACTGATTTGTACAATTGTAATATTATGTTAAAATGACCGTAAACTGATAGCAAGAATTTCAGGTTATTACATGTTTATTGCATGAGATAAATGTGATTTGTGTGCATGTAAGTTAAATAACGAACAAAAATATCAATATTTGCTATCATGTGATAAACTAAATAGTCTAATGACAACTATCTATCTATCCATCTCTCTCTCTCTCTCTCTCTCTCTCTCTCTCTCTATATATATATATATATATATATATATATATATATATATATATATAGTTATGTACATTACTTTTCTACGGTCTAGTAACTCTGACGTTCATCATTATCAGTCCAACTTGTTTCGTCAGTGTCTTTCACAGAAGTCCTGCACAAGGTGAATGTCGTTTCAACATGTGAAGTTTGTCCCAACAGATTTATATATGATAAGTATCTATTTTCTTTGTTATGTATTTTTATACATCAGCGCCTACATCATTGTAGTATTCTGTTTGCAGTACTGATGGAGTGAAACTGTATCCACCAGGACTGATCAAATCATATTTACACTACTGTTCCATTATTTGTCTATTTCCAAGTCTAATCTAATTGGAAAATTATGAACTTCATTATTGTAATATTGGAAACAATTAAAACGATTTTGTTCTATGAATTTCGAGCATATAGTACAAATCGTTCTTGCATCCAATCTGTTGTTTTAAGTTGGTGATTTAGAGTTTTTTTCTCTCTCTTCTTTTCCATTCTTCACATTCTTATTATCAAAAGATCTTTGCTGCTATAATCTTTTCTTTGTTTTTATGGAAAAATGCGACATTTTCAACCAATAAACTCAGTTTTTTTGTACTCTTTGTTTTGTTATCAAACAACCACCCTCTCTAACGAGCGTTAATGTCTTTTTTCTTCACTGCCTCAACATTTATATTCCCATTTAACATCAGACTATGTATTTATTTTAAGTCTTTAACTGGCCAGTTTTGGTTTGTGCTTTTAATATTTTATATCTTTTTAAGTTACACTCATCAAGATTGTAGGTGTAAGCAAAATTTTACTGTTTATTCATTTATTTAAAATAGTATTCCTATGGATTTACTTTACCAATTTTGGGTGATAGAGATTCTCCAAATCTTACTTTCTTTACAAAATCCGAAGAATTACGTACAGCTTGGATGAAAGCTGTAATGGCTGCATTGTAAGTTGTTGGTGTCAATCTTATCTGTGTATTTGTTTTTGAATTGATTTATTTTTGTTGTTTATACATTTAGCAACTGTGACAAATTTCATGTGAAGAGTACTGTTGTATTCTGTACTTTTTAAATTGAACTTGATCAACTTTATACTCCTGAAATAAATCGTTTCCGAGTAATTCGATTACGGTAAAATTCTGTTTATCTTGGATTTATTTGATAAACATTCTAAGCTTTATCATCAAAGATGAATAATATCTAGCAGTGGGATCCAGGACGCGCGTTTTGTCCTATTTTGGACTGGTCAGCTGGATGTACCTGCATCCCAGAGTTGATGTTCAATTGCAGTCCTAAACATCAATGACAAGGTTTAAATAAACAATACAAAGTTTTGATTGAGACCATAAATCGACCAATATTAGACCACCATTTGAAACCTGGAAGCACTGAACTGGGCATCCACGATTACACGCGCGTGAATTCGAACACAGGACCTTATGTCTCGCGCGTAAACGCTTAACCCCTATATTACTGAGTCGGTATTCAACGATTTTAATGTCTAACTTCAATAAGTCCACGGAATCGCGTGACCGCCCTCCATTGTCCTATGTGTGTAACTACCTCACAACCGAAAACATTAGTTCAAAGCTTTAGTTATGTCCTTAATAAAGCTAGAATACTGTATTTCTTAAGTAGATGTTAATTTAATGCTTTCAGTTTACGTATGATAGAAAACAGGGTTATAACATATTTAAATAATAATTTTATTTATATAGAAATCTACTGAATGATATCGGACTTTTTTCCAGGCAAAAAATCTTAAATGTGTTGTGAACAAATATTATCAACCAGTTGTTCAGAATAAAAGATTTTTTAATGTGCTATACATAACTTACTTCTGCCCATTCTTATTTAAGCAAATCTGATACCATGGTTGCTATTAACTTAGCAATATTTTAAATTTATTATAAGTCTTGAAAGTTATTTGTAATCATTTAAAATAAATTGTGAATTTCCTAAAAAGGAACTAGTTTTTGCTTGATGATAGTCTATAGCTTTTGATATTTTGTCAAACTTCAGTGAGTTGCAACAATTCTGAAGTCAGTCAGACCACTTATATTACTCTTAGTATTCAAAGTTGATTTTCCGTTTCGCACAATGAATTCGATAGTTTAATTATTTGAGATAGCATTATCTGTAAGGATTCATTTCTATACTCACCACTGTTTTATACTACCCCTATTATTTAAATTTTCTATGTTAATATAGTTTGTCATTATTCCCATCGCTCATTCTCCATTTGTTTCATGTTGATTTTTGATTTCATTGACAACAGGTCTAATCTTTGTCCACCTGGAGCGAAAGACCGAGGTTACAACTTTGAAATGTTCACATTTAAACAACCTACTTATTGTTGTATCTGTAATAAATTAATCACAGGAATGTTCTTTCAAGGTTATCGTTGTCGAGGTAAGTTTTGTCAGGATAGATTCTTTCTTATCATTCACGTGAGCTATTCAGCGTGATTTTAGGCTTAAACATTAACTACAAGTGCTCAATTTTCATTATATTCACTGTTATTTTCCAAAGTGCAGTTTAATAGTTTATTGATTTCTTATAAATCAAATGGTAATGTGTAACACAAATTAAAACAACTCTATTTCTTGGCTTAAATAAAAGTCAAGGCTTATAGCTCATTGAATGTTGTACTTACAGATCTCTTATGTCTTAATGGGTTGCAGTAGTTAGGGATAGAATATTATCTTCATACTCTGTAATTTCAAGGGTTTGGTTGATTCGTGATAGCCGTGATCATTGGCTAGAGACATTGAGTAGCATGACTTGGAATCAGTTGCGGTAGCACAAACACACTCATTCTTTGTTTTCCCTAATTTTCAAAATTGTTTCATATATTTCACCCTGCACATTCATTATTTCTCATTAAACCATATTGTCTATGGGTTATACGTTTTGCTATCACTGACACTATTCTGGTATTTATCTTAAAGGTTTCATCTCATGATGCTGAAATGTTGTGGCAACTTGTACCGACGTAAATTGATCCCGGGTCATTACGTTGCTTATGACTAGTAGCAAATTGCGTTAAGCGTATATACATCTTAAAAAATATATTTCACCTATAATTTGAAGGTTTTCAACTGTAGTCCAATAAATTTCTCCATAGCTTAACACCTGCTTAGTAAACTTGTAAAAATTCTATTCAAATATTTAATTTCATCAGATTGTGTGCTCGTTTTGTAATTTGTGTTTTACTTTGAGCTTTCATATTTGGTCGCTAATTTCTCAACACTAGTGTAGCTAACTTTGTCAATGTTCGTTTCATAAAAAGCTGAAGTGTTCTGAAGTTTTATATAAATATTTATAAAGGAATTCTTCCAATTTTAAAAGTCATTTGTAATCACTGTTCTGAGGATAACTATCACATACCATACTTCCTCTCTTTGTTGAACTAAGTTTAACAATTTTACTGACCAATCCTCATTTATAATCCATCACTCACTAAAAAAATAAATTAAATCCGTGTTAATTGTGTTAAATTTGTTTATACGTTCATGTCATTATAGACAAATAAGTATTCGCTTTGTTGCACTTAAAAATTAAACTTTTATTGAAACATGTTTTGTTTACAATAGAACTTGTAGATGAATCCTTTAAGGAATCGGTTACGAGTAGTAACTGTTTTTAGTTTACAAAATTAATCTTTGTAATATTTTTATCCTTAACACTATTAACGGAAAATGTTTCACAAAAAAAGAACAGCATTAAACAATCAACAAATATATATGTAGTGCAAACTTGTAACACAGTAATAAAATGGATTTATTCATTTTTTTTATTCGTTAATTTTCTTTAATTGTTTGCAATCCACAATACTTGTATCAATTATTTACAAAAATCAGTTTATCAATCATTTAGTCAATCAGTTACAACCGACTATTGTAGTATAGGACCAGCCATAAATATTCATCAGTTCAAATTGCCACATTTCATCTTACAGCAAGATGAGAACAGCAAAGAAGTTGGAACATTAATTAGTATCAATTACCGTAATAAAAATTCATTAGAATGGATATGTTCTGAATAAATAAAATGTGATAAGAAAATAAAAAAAAATTATGGGAAAATTTAATGGAACTCAACATTTAGTTATCAGTAAAAAAATGGTTTACATCGCTATGATCAGTTTTGATCTAATTATTGATTTTGAAGCACGGAGTTTTCCAGAAGTTTGGAGATTAACTCTAAGAGAGCTCATAGTTCAGTAAGATGAAAAAAGCTTGTATGTAGACGAAAATATTTTTATCGGATTTTAAAACAGTTACAGTTTGCTATAAAATATTGTATCATTGAACTTAGGAAATTGAAACCATGGAGTTTATTAATATTTTTTCGGCATATGATAATGTCTGAATCTTTTGATGATAGTTTCAGTAAATCTCTTAGTTTATGTGCTTATTAATTATTTCATATGTGAATGCGACGGAGGATTTCTGTGCTAAGTATGTTTTTATTTCGCGATTTTGATTCCTTTGAGGTCCACATGAAAATTTGAGCAAGAACTTTTTTTCTTCAATTTTTCCAATGTGTCTACTTTGGCTTCATGGTTTTGAATAATGTTAGCTTAAAAATATATATAAAAATACTTCTACTTCTACCTATATGTAGATTGACTGTTGTGCATTCAGGTTGACTGATTACTGAATCAGTACTGGTAATAGTAGTACTAGTAGTCATATCAAACCATGCAGTCACCGACTCTAAAGTATGTACAAAATTTTTAACCCTCTGGATTATGACACAATTAATTATTGAAGACTGTTATTACTAATGAAAATAATATTTTTCTCATAAATGTTATTCTTGCTGTTCCGCTATCTTTCTGTTTCTCTCTGCGTGTGTATGTGTGTGTGCCTTATTAGACTGATAGGTGCATCAAATTTTGATTACTTCATTAATCAATAATGACAATGACAAGGTTTCATTCAACTCCCTTATATGCATCCAAATAGTAGTGCATTGAATTTCTTTATGTGGTCAAAAATTCATAACAATCAGTTTACCTTTTTTGTAGCATAACCTTAAATTCTTGTGGCTGTATGTGTATGTTCCACCAGTGAAATTGCTCTTTTAAGTTTTGTGTACCTAATCTATTCTACTGATTATAGTTATGTGTTATCTGATGTGTATGTATGTTTATTTTTTTTTGTGATGAAGCGGAAAAAGGATATCAGTTCTCTTCATAGTTACTCATTCATATTTGTGAGAGGGCTTGGTGCCCAAACTCTAGCAGATGGTTTTCTTAGGACCTCGCTTCTCGAGCCTTTGACATAGAGGTCGAATCCACAAGGTAGTGGAGAAACGTCAGGAGACGGATTTCAATGGTAACTGGTGACCAAAAATAAACTCATACGTCAGTCGATGCTTCAGGATCCTAGAGCACATATACACAATTGGTTTTGAGTTAGTGTTTTCTAACTCCTATATCCAATGTGGTTAAAGCGCAGAATGTCGGCTTTTCGTCCACTAACCTTTGTAAACAATGTCCTCTCCGTGAGAAAGCAGTGCGTAGGGCTTCTTTGACAGTGACTATGAATCCATGGCTATATAAAAGGATTTGGAGATGGACTTTGAACTCTTTATCCTTGGCCTTATCAAAGCATTTAGAGAGAGACTGCCAGATCGTGCTTTATTTGGCGATTCTAGGGCTAGTTGGAGAGAGTTGAGGGATGGTTAGTTCATGATATGGCACCAAGGCATCAAAGGGTGTTATACAGAACCGAGATCTGTCGGTTCATCAGAACTCCTTTAGTTGAAGTCCTATAGATGGCGTTAGCTGGTAGCGTAATACATCATTCATGACTCAGAATAGAAGTCAACAATGGTTATTCCGTAGTATTTTTTACATTTACTATAAAAACGAGAGGAACTTCGATAACTAAAAGAATTCTTTCAGGCTGTACTTTTTAAACTGATATATCTTTACTTCTATAATCTGTCCTCGGCCCTGGTATGGCCGAGGGCGGGGAGAGTCAGCTCTCCCTTTCGAAATGCTCTCACATGGCCACGCATATGCAGCCACTGCAAGGGAAGTCTTGCTCACTGTCTTCTTGTGGTGGGGATGTTTTTTACCAAATTGGGAGGACGAAAAGCGAATGTCCGGAGCTTTAACTGGGTTGTTGGATATGAAGGGTCTACCTAGGGGGGTTGAGAAACCCTGATTCCAAACCATTGGTGCACATGGGCTCCAGGATCCTGAAAGAACAAATGGCATACGAACCAACTGCTAATTACCGGCTACCACGGAACTGCATCCCCTGACGTTGCTCTACTGCCTTGTGGATCAGACCTTTAGGTCAAAAGCTCTGGGTGTGGTCCTCTAAGAAGACCACCTGTTTCGGTTTGGGCACCCAGGCAGTATCTCATCCCTCACACGAATCGGATGATTTATGTGGCTCATATCTATTTGGTTCCTTCTTGTTCCAATGTGTATGTTTTTTAATAAAATAAATAGTTTGATTATTCTTCATTTATCTCCTCAAAATATAATTTCCTTTTTACGTGAGACATATTTCTTTTGATGTCCATCTTTACTAATGTTTATGTTTCAATAGATAAATATATAAGTTTTTGTATACAACTTGGAAACCCTTCAACTAGTTATATTAACTTTAGTTAATAACTTTCTGTTGATTGCGAAAAAGAAACTATAGCAGTTACAGTCCAAGCTTCCCGAATGAAACAATAAGTCTGTATTTACATTTCTCGAAGCCTATGCTTTATAACCATCTGTTCTATGTTATGATTGTTATTCTCGATAGACTGCAAAGCGTTAGCAGTGACCCAGTGGTTAAATCGCTCGACTTTTAGTCAATAAGTTATATGGTTGAATTCCGTTCCACATACGTCGGTCTGAACAGTCCAGTGATATAACTAGTCTTCACATTTAGAACTCGACTGAAACTTAAGTGCATGAAACCTATACCCCGGCAAGTGTGCTAATAACAATGTTATGATATCTTCAAAATCCCCTTATGCCAAAAGACAAAGTATAAAAATTAGTTTTTCATTGTTTTGGCTTATTAAACATGACAAGTGATAATAATATTTTGTTTGTGTATTACTATAAAAGTAAAAAACTGCTTCTTTTCATCTTCAACAGTTGGTCATTCTATTCTAACCTACCTTTCGTGTTAATCCTCTGATTGTGTTGTAACATTAAATTTCATTCTTCTGTTGATTTTTTGTCATTTTTCTTAAAAGAATGAATTTCACTCTGAATGTGTTTTTGTATGTATCGGTTGGAGTGTGCATTATTGCTTCATACAAAGACAATAATAAAGATTATATCTTTTCAGACATGCTTTAGAATTATTATTAACACTACAGAATACCAGCACCGTTCTGATTATATATATGATCAGAATAAATACTTTTATTTTGTTTTCATGTCTATTTGGTGAGAATTAATATCGGTTTTGTTTAATTCATATAGTGTTTACCTTGTTCTGTCTAGTCTGATTGTTATATACATATATATAACAACCTTCCTGACATTGTTCTGAGTGAAATTATTAGCGTGTTTTTTTCTGTATTTGCTTATTCTTACCTTTGTGAAACGGATGCTTACCTAAAAATACATAATGTATTAGATATATCTAGGTACTTTGGATAATAATATATACGAAAGTCATACGGTGTTTTATAATGTGTCTCCAGTTCGAGTTAAAGTGTGAATTCGATTTATTTTCGAAGTTCATATCTTTCAGTCTTTAGAGTAGTAGTCAATTTGACGTTCGAGTTATTTTGCCTGCGATATTAATTCCTCGAAGCCCTATTGTGCCATGGTAGTACCATCATAATATAAGAATTTATTTTCACTATAAGGAAAGCTTAAGACTGGTGTTAGTCTGTTATTACAAGATTGTGGCACAAAGTGTATCACTACAATGTTACCAGTATTTCCATCGACCCTTCTGTTTGAAAAGTTCTCATATAAATAAACTTCGTATTCCATCCTACCATATGAGTTTTCATGACTTGTAATTAGGTGCTATAAGATATGAATGAAACATAAGAGAACTGACCTTTGAAACTATAATTGATTGATGACCTTTGAGTGACGTAAAGTGACCTTAAGAATACTCACTAGAGTCGAAAGAGAGTTAAAAATAATATGAAGAATTAGGGTTAGAAATTAGAGCCAGCGTTTTCATCACGAACTGATATAAGCTATAATGCCAAAATTCTGTTTAATTATTTGGATCAATGACGTAATTTCATTCGTTTGTCCACAAATAACAGTCTCGCCAACTGGCATTCCCCTCTTCCAGATCAACTTATTTTGATGACCCAAGAAAAGAAAGAATCACTTCCGCTTCTCTATATTTACTTGATTTAATTGCGAATTGGTTAAAGTCGATTTTTTTAAATCCGAAAGTGGTAATCAAATGTGTGACTTTCGTAGACTTCTGATCAACTTCCCCTTATTTAAAGCTGTGTAGCAGTAGTTTTCTTTTTATTCGCTGTATCATATATTACAATCTTGGTAAACGTACTAACGCCCTGTGTAATGTTTTAATTGATTGATACCCTTTTATACTCTTTTATATCAGAGTACTTTATTTTACTTTCTATATGCAGAAACAAATCGAGCTGCACATAAAAGTTGTCTTGCCAATCATAATCTTCCACTGCGTGGTATGGCTAATCCACATATTAATGGAGTTCCTCCAAGTGCCCCACCGCCATTACCTCCACAGATCAATACAGTACGTAGTCGACGTTCTCATGTAACGATGGGAAGTGTGCCATGTACACCTGGAAACAACTCATTATCTAATTCAGAATCATTTGACTTCTCACAGTTAACTGATACATTATCTTCTGTGAACCACTGGCTTGCAACTGATCATAACAATCTGTCGAATGTCACTTTACAACGTAACCGACGTATATCTTCAGGTTTACCTACATCAAGTATTCCTCCAGTGAATCCAACTTTTGCTATAGCACGAAAAGCATATGATGGTGATCCTCTCCCACCATCAGGTAGTCATCCTTTGAGATTATCAATTGGAGATCAAGTTGAATTGATCAAATGGACTGAAGGCTCATCATGGTGGCAGGTGAGTTTTGTCATTATGATGTATTCAGTTCAATATATAGTTATTTAACTATGACTTGTAATCTCTTTAAAGTTACCACTGAAAGTTGTAAACTATTTGAAAATATAATAATCATCTCTATATTATAAAATTCTCTAGCTAAATATCAATCTTTGCACACTAACAAGTCACCTAATCTTCAAAATATACATAATCTAATCACACATGTACTTCATACTGACCTTGGATTATACTAAAGTAGTGGGAATAGTTTGTTATCTATTTGTCTATCATATGTTTTCCGAGATTATGATAAAACTGATTTTGTTATGACATGTTTCAAAATCTCGGGTCTTCCTTCAAAAGTTAACATTGTGCAATTATATGTTTTCCGATGCTTATTGAATTATAGTCATGTAAATCATCGATAGTATATATGTCACAGAAAATAATCCCAATTTTATTGCTACTATTATCGACGAACAACTACCTACTAAAAATGAACTTTTGTCAATTTTGAATACGTAAAGTCTATAACATGTAGTTTAATATCCACTGAACATAAATTTTGTGGATTTCTTTATTATCAATAGTATAAGATATTAACGACCAGATTTGTTTACTTGGCTTTTTAGCTACATTTATGCAATATTTGGTTCTGTATGTCCACCAACAGTCATACATTACTGTGTAACTTTATAGTTTCCGTAAATTCAGTATACGTTAACATATTCTTTATTTTTGAATATATACAGCTTAAATCATTCTGTACTGCATTATTTGTAGACACAAGCAATGCTTTTGTAAATTTTTAGTTGAAAACAATGATTTCATTCAAGGGAAATAACTGATTGATTGTATGGACTGAGTAATTCACTATTGAATGTTACCCGTCAAAAGCTTTATTTGACTTTATGATGCCGTTGAACTAACTCCGCAATCATCTGATAAGTACAAGTTTATAGACTTAACTTTACAGGATGTTTTGTACATGGAGACTAGTAATATTACTTATCCTCTGAAACGACAAAGTAAGTCGATCAACATTCAAACTTATGACTTATAGATGAATAAACGTTCTGTTATGGATTCAACTTTTTGATATCCACCTAGTCAGTTCACTAAGTGACCGAGTCGACGAATAGTGTTTTGCTTTACACCAATATGATTATAAACATTAGCTTGGACAATGACACCATTGAAAACCTAACGCATATTGGTCCACTCAATTCCTATCCTCACTGACTAGTAAGAACACGAAAACATTCAACCTTGTTGCTGTCTGTACGTGGCTTAAGAACTCATGATAATGTACATCTGTTGAAAGACTATAACATACTACAGATAGGATATCACAATTTTTACATAACTAGGTCATTTATAATACAAACTGAGTAACGGATGCATAATCGATTGGAGATAATTTATGGGTAGTAAGACATATTTCAGTAGTTAACGATTTAAATGAGAGCCTATAATCAAGACAATATAAAAAACTACCATAAAGTAAATATCCAATATATACACAGTAGATGTATACGTCATAGCCCACTGTAAAATATTTCTAAAAGTTCCACCTGTACCAATTATTAGCTCATCTCTAACGTTAACCATCATGGATTCACTTGAATACCAAAAGATATTTTAAAGACGATGTTCTCCATTTCAAAATGCTGATGAAGACACACACTACTGAGATTGCATCAGTACATTCTATATTGTTTATTATTTTTGATAATTTCATTGACTCATAATTGTCTATTTGATTAGATGCACTGTAAATAATCATGATTTTGTCCAAAAGAGCGGGTTACAAGTAAGTAAACTTTTCATTGTTACAAGAATGATTGCTAAGTTATCGTTTTTTTCCACAAAATTAAATAATTACTTGTATGCTATTTTAGATAAGAACTGGGTGTTTTTTTCGAATACAAACATTCCATAAACTTCGTTATACTTCTATACTGTCTCCAAACAGTAGTTTCCATTCAACTATATCCACATTAATTCTTATCGATGATTAATTTGATTCTATTAACTACCTTTCTTAATTTTTTAAATTTCAAATCATCAACATTCAGGGTTATTGTGATGGGTCTGAAGGTTGGTTCCCTGCTAATCTCGTTGAAATGGTGGTGAATAATAAAATGAATAAAGTAAGTTGTTCTCTCTCTTTTACCATTTTTTTCTGCGATTGGTCAACAAGCTCTTTATTTAAGGTCCCAATGACAATTTGAACCTCAACATGTAAAATTTAAGTGTCTTTGAGACAATAGGTGGTGCTGAAGATTTGTATTTCAAGAAGATTATTTTGATGGAATTTCTTTCTCTGAGCTGTTTGGTATAAAGCATTCAAGTATCGTTGTAAATTAGATACACAAGATAGTGATTTCAACTTGTAGCTCATCATATGTTTATTACTTGTCTTGTTCTAATTCATTCGACATTCTAATACCTCCGGGGTGTATGTAAGACTTATTTTTCTGCTAATATCAACTCATTTAGATGATTCTAATTTATGACTATTTTAATGGGGAGTGATGACAAATATTACTTGATTGACATTTATGGACAAATCAATCAAATTTAAGGTAATAGGTCTTGGATTTTGGTGCGAAATTCCTTCACCCATTTGGCTAAATAGTATTTCACCATTATAGGTGATGTCAGTTCGTGATGAAAACAATAAATTTAATTTCTAACCCTAACCATCAACTGTAACTTATAATCCTAATTCCTCACACTGGTTTATAACCCTTATTTAACACTAGTAAGTAGGTGGACATTTTCAAAGAGACTTTAGTGTCACTTAAAGGTCGTCCATAAATTATAGTCTCACCGAAAATTTCTTATGATTCCGATCTAAGCTGGGAAAACTACATTAGGTGATTCTTCAGATCTATATTAAAGCTAAGGTAATTTGAAATTATTATGACAGAACATGGTACTTCATATTAAAAACGTTTGTTCATATCTGATTTAGATAGTAATTCTTGGTTGAACTAAATGTTTTTTTCCCAAATGAATGTGTATATTAAGATTGAATGAATACATTTTATTTTTTTCCTGATAACATATAATTAAATGAAGTATTAATGGACCACAACAATCGGTTGTGAAGCCTTTACTTATTTATTTATTTTCTTTGGATTGCATTCTCATCAATAAATTCAGATTGGTACTTCGAATGCAACATTTACCAACAATCCAGCTATGTCGCTGTCGACCTTGATAGGGCATCCTTCTCGGCACAGTTTACCCCCAGATTGTTCAATTTCAACAAATAATTCCAAAGAAATTTGTTTAAACTTCGATCTGGAACACTTTCCTCATCAACACAATAAATTAAACAATAACTGTACTACTACTACTAATAATAATAGCAACAATAATAATATTTTGGTGGATACTTGCCTACGTCAAACCAGACAGACTGTCACGTCACTCGTAGACAGTCATGATCCTCTTACTGGCTATGACTGGTCTGTTTCGACACTTTTTGTTTTTCTAGCTCGGTTGTGTCTATTTATATTTTTATTTGCTTTTTAGTTGGAAATTTGATTTGCACGAGTTGATCATTAGTGTATATTATATATTTTCTATGTAATGCATGTGCTCTGTCCTTTTTAAGCATGTTTATGTGTATACTAGTTTTATTGATTGTCTTAATAAATTTAGGGATATTTACTTTATTCATTTTCATTTTTATTTTAATTAGCCAAGCAGTACAAGATTTTCTCATCAAGTATCTTCATCGTCTAGTTCTGATCGAACACCAGTTTTTAATAATAATAATTCTTCGGTTCAGAAACCTTTCTTTTCACCAAATGAAACGTCTCCATCCAATTTACCTTTATGTACAATAGCAAATAAAACTTTAAATAACAGTCTATCGCCTATCGTCGGTAATAATTATAATAATATTCCTAGTCCTCCTTGCTCATCATTAACATCTCTTATCCCAGTGAATATGAATATAAATAATTCATATCCTCCATTAATGTTTCGACGTTTGAAAAAGCGTAGTTTATCAGCTTTGGAAATTCCCGAATTATCTCAGTGTATTGATTTAGTTCCATCAGTATTGTCAACTACACAAACTGCAACAGTTAGTGCAACAGTCACCTCGAGATTTGAAAATTTTCCAACTGATCTAATGATGGACCATTCACATTACTTTCTGTCGACTTTTCCCTGGTAAACTGTGCATCTTTATTTATTTGTATAATGTACATTTATAATATGAAATGTGTATTTCTTATTTATCGTTGTAGAAAAATATCTAAAGTAATCAATTTTTTTCCGACTACAAGAAATATTGTTCTATTAAGTTATGCCAACTCATTTAAGTGTGTGGCAAATACGGTGTAGTGTTATTATTTTTTTAATAGCATTTTCCTATTTCTAATGTCAACCACAATAAATTTTAAACATCAAAATACTTGTCGATATATTAGGAGTTAAATTAAAACCTTTGAACGAAATTCTGTCCAGTAGTTGTCTGTTCTTTATTTCTAAATTTTATTCATGTAAATACTTGTTTCAATCTAGGCTTTTTTATCACTTTGCTTAGATAGCTACTTTACAGTTCTATGCTGTGTGTCCATCTTATGTATATAATTTGCATGTTTGGGTTTGTTTACCTTAATTGCTGGATTGCTATGTGTCACTTTGCATGGTCATTTGACTGTTTTATATTACTCTATGTACAATTTGTAGTTTTTATTTATAATTCATAAATTATTTTACACTATTTGGTTTGATATTGTTTTTTTGTCCACAGTTTAAGAGAATATATTATGCCCATGCATACTTTTTCTACTATTTTTAAAGGTTTGAAAAGCCAACCTATGCCAAAATATCGATAACTTGCTGGCATTATTATTGCTGTTTAATTAACTAATTAATCGGTTGATTGATAATTGAATATTGATTAACGTCATTTCTGTCTAGACCTCAGAGATTATTGAATTCCATCGACTAAGTACAAATGAGGCTACTAGTATAAATGATTTAACATCGCCTTCACTATTTTTCAATTTTAGGTGGCTGAAGGTTGTAGGCAGAAAACTCTGCTTTACTTTGGATTCATGCGAGTTGAGACTCTTTAGTAAGGTTTACCCGCAATTTCAAGGGACACTCTATGTTAGGTTCGAATGTCCGAGACTGAATGTGGGTGACATGGATTCTAATCTAGTGCAAAGCATTAATTCTCTCAATATATTACAGATACTCCTTGCTGAGGAATGCTAACTAGCACGAAACCGTGTTCAGATAGTGTTTCCCACAGTCTATTTCCAACCACCTAACATTATTATTACTATGTTTTATGTGTCTTTTATATTAAAATAAAAAGATGTGGTGTACATTCCTTGTATGCATTTTGTTGTTTGGCTATAGCAACAGAATTTATTGAATAAACAAATGAATACTAGTATAAATATAGTAGTGTTCTGTGATAAACGGCTATAAAAATATCATTAATTTTAAATTACTTAGTATTAAATTCAGGAGATCAAGTTAATTTCTTATATAAATTTGAAACTGGACGACAAATGTCTTGAAGAACTTATAAGTTGATTAATGGGATTATGAAGATTCAAGTTTATTACAGAATGTAACTTAAACGGTACTTGTCATCTGTAATGATTAGTATGCTGATCAAATCATCAGTTGTTATTAAATAAACATTAATCTTGAATTTGCTTAACTGTAAAAACACTAAGAAAATATACTTAATTCTGACATAAAGAATACTGTTAGTAATGAATGAGAAAACAAAGATAACCAGTTTACTATTCTTTTTCATTTTAAGGAGTATTTAGTCGGCTAAAATCGATCTTATTTCGAGACATTAAGACAATGATATCATCGAGAACTATATATTCAGATTAACAAATTTATTCTGTGAATGCTAATGTAATTACTGTCGATAAATATGTGAGCTGAATGTAGTCATTGGATAATACAACAAAATCTACTAGGTCAACAAGAAATTCCTCGTTTAAAATTGTAGTTCAAGTTTTATGAAACCACAAATCTATTAAATAATTCGATTTGGTTTTAAAGTTTGATATTTACCTTTCCTGATATACTTAACTAAGTAGAAACATCAAGTAAACACTATTTATTTATTATTTGTTGATGAATTTCATATCTGAACATGAATAGCTTTGTATAATTATTCAGTGTGTAATTGATGATTAATATTATATAATGACTTGTTTATTTCTTGCTGTAAATCAGTTTAACATTACAATGGATACAAATGGAGTTGTAAGATTTCAGTAGACTGTAGCTTCAATTGACTCATGATCTTAACTATTGAAATTACTACAATCTCCACGAAACCCCTTCTGACACTAGAATTATGTGTTTACAACATCAAAAATTTTATTTCCAAAATAAACCTGTGCTTTTTGTTTATGATAGATAATTGAATTGAACAGTTGTGTGATCAATCAATCTTTAAATGTCCATTCATCATTTGCCTGAATAAATTTTATTTTTGTCTTTGTAGATATATTGTGTCTTGTTAGTATATTCTCCGTAGATGTGACAAAACTTCTTTGTCATGTATACACATGATATTTGTTTTGATTTCTGAATTAATTAATGATATTAACTATTGTTACACCTTGAAATATAAGTAATCTTAGCTAGTGTTAAATATATAGGCTTCAATGGTGGTTTAGTTTCTGAGAAATTTAGCTTTTAGCCAGCAGTAGGTCATATATTGGAACCATACTCTACCTATTTCACTTTCGAAGGTTGGGTAGGATTACTAGCTCTCTCATAAATACTGTGACTCAAAGTCCCGAGTACATAAACCTGTATTTAGCAGACAAGTTTCATCTGCATAACTATGTCAGTTGAATGATCATTCAAGTTCAAATAATACCAAACTGTTATTCAATCGTAATATCGTTGTATCACAAATACTTTTCTAATTTATGACTATATTACCTGGGAATCTCATAGTTATTTCGTTATAGCTTTCATCAGTTATCGACAAGATGCAACAATTTGCAGTGTATAATCACATCATTTAAAATGATGCAAATTCTTACTCCTTGCATTTTAATTTATATCTGAAGGTATATATTCATTGTTTCAGGTGGTTATTGATTATCCAGCAGTTTATTATATGCTTCATCCACAGGATGATGAATGTGAACGGCTTGGAATTGTTTTTTTAAACATTATTGTTATCTTACTACAAAGCCATTATATAGTCAACATCAACAATAGATAAGTTTACTTTAGAATAATTTTATCGACTGATGTACTTGATAATTATCAACATCGGTTAACATTTTTATAACATGTTTTTCTCAACAAAACTTACACTATTCATACTGATTATTATGAATAGTTGATTTGTATTATATAGAAGAATGCAAAATAATTTTATTTAACTAAAAAAGAATCCTCTATTCATCAGAACATTCAAATGATGTCATACTTGTTAAGATTTCATTGGTATGGGTATGTATATAATTGTTTCTCTCAATAATTTCTTAAATTCCAGATAACCTTTTCTTTTGTTTTTTTTTTGCTTCGATATTTGTGTACTTTTACAGTAGCACGAGGGAAGCATGCTTAATTCAAGTTATATATATATACATACTGTCATAACTAATCGTTTTGTATGTTGGCATTTTACTGTTTTCATTCAACCAACTGTTTTTCTATTCGTTTTACTCGCTTCTGCCTAATTGATTTATTTTTATTTCTCTGACTTATATGTCTATTTTTGTTGATGCAAATAATAGGTATGTTGGTGAAATGGACAGACTCGAAGCTGTTAATTTATTAAGTAATTGTATTGACGGTACATTTCTTGTACGTCTGTCTAAAAGTGCTGAAAGAATGGGAGAATATTCACTATCTGTTGTATACGGCCATCCACGGCATATTCGTATACAGCGTTTTTCATCATCTGATAATTCCTGTATTACATATGGTCTTTGTGAATTAGAACAATTCCCAAATATACCGGTATGTTTTCTTTGTTAACTAATAAGCTAGTGTTTATTATTAATATTATTATTCTTACTGGAACTTGGTTGAGATTTTCGAGTGAAGGTTAAGGTTTTTGTTCATTGTTCTTTAATTTCACTGTTTTCCAAATGATTGTTGTTTAAAATTTCTTGAAAGATAATTTCCTGTAGTGACGTTCGTTGGTTGTGTATGACTGACTGACTTTGTCGGTTCCTGAGGCTATCGAAACATATGAATGCTCATACTTTCTTTCAACTAGTATTATGCAGGTTATTAGAGGTAGTTTGACCATATGACCTATGAGCGACGATAAAATTGAGCAAGACGAGTTAAAGTTCTGTGGATGACTTTACTCATAGCACACTTTCACTTAGATTTCACTAGCCATTACCTTCATCATCGGACTACATATCATTTTCTTAGTTAAGCTCATGTAAATTTTCAAATCCATGAAATATATTATCGAAATAAAAACAACTTACTGAAATATTTTCAGACTATGGTTAGTAGCTAATTACTGAAGAGACAAAAAGTTGAACACGAAGTACCTATTGCCAACTTTTTCTCTAGTTACTGTTCTGTACGTCGAAATAGGCATCACTAAACGTCCCTTCAAGGTTATCGAGAAAAGTAGTTCATTAATCTACTAGTCGTTTAATTTTCATACTATGCGTGAGATATATATTGGTCTTTGAAAACAAGTGATGTATAAATCTTATACGACCGAAGCACCTTAATCACTTTTTTCAGTTATCAATCTATATCTCAAAGATTTCACGTAAATGTTCTCGGACAATAAAAACAGATATTTAGTTGAAGAGTAGTCATTAAGAGTTAGTTTTAGTGTGGATAGTCAATGAAATTTAGCAAGTACGTAATATTCTTTTGAATGTTCAGTAAAAAAGATCTGATAAACATTAACCAAAGCAGTTAATAAAATTTTCAATCAATAACCAATCTATATTTGTAGCTATTTGTGTCCTGAAACATTTTAGTGAGTCGCGTATACGCCAAAATATTTGATGAATGTAGATGTATTAGTAACAGTATTTTTATTTCTAAGTAAGGTTCATTATGCGGGAATAACAACTTTTTTGTGATTCTGGAAATTCTCAAAATCTGCATTTTTTTATCAACAAAAAGGATTTGATAGGATACAATCATGAAGTATTTTCTTTATAGTTTTTTGAAACTTGATGTTGTAAAGTATAAACTCCTAATAATACACATACATTGAATACTTTTCTCCCCACGTGTCTATCTCTTTAGTGCGTAATTGACAACTACTCCAAAGTGTCGTTAAATCGGTGCTTCGATGAAGTTGACATCACATTACTTTATCCCTACCAGAAGTGTCCTTGTAAGTTAACTATTATTACCCATACTTTTCTACTACGTACCTTTCGGTTTCGTATATATATACCTGTATTTGATCTTCTTTACTGTACCATCGTCTACTTCAGTAAGTAATGTTTGCTTGTGTAAAATAAAGTGGGGGAAAACTAGGGGTGGACAAATCAATATGTCACGTCGACCAATAGAATCACTGACTGTTTCATTAAAGAAGGTCGGTAGGTGCATTTGAGGTCATCAAGATTATTGTAATGGATAATTGGAGATTGGGTGAAGTAGGTCAGAGTCAGTCACAATACCACATATACATTCACTATGTTTTCCCTTAGATCTTGAGTTTTATACATATGCTTTTTATTTAACGAATTCATTCTTTCCTCTCGAACTATATTGTCTATGCCTAATGGTTTATACCACCGCACATTTTACTGATACTGTTACTACTTCTACTACTCTGACATCTGTCTTGATAATTTCATCCCACTGTGTTGTTATGGTTTATCAAATTGAATGGATACACATATGTGCAAGGTTCTAAGTTGCTCATAATTGAATGAATTGCTAAATATTCCAATTATTCGGTGATGCTTAGAAATTGTACTAACTACTTCAAGATGACTAAGCTAACACACATATTCCTTGGAACACGTCAGGTTGAATAAAGTTTCTTTGATCATTCATAATACATTATAATAATGTATCCTGAATTCTCCACCTGAATCGTCTTTTTTATCAGGTAAGTTTTGACTAGTGCCCATCAATTGCGTAAAGGTTTGGTCTCATTGTATTCTGATTTTTATGATCGTTCATTAAATGGCAATTTATTTCAGGTTTGTTATCTTATAGGTAAAAATAATCTTATTAGTATGTTTATTCAGACAAAGGTCATTGGAGTGCTATGACATTCAGACTTCATCATGTCTTTTGAGAGAGAAATCCTTGTCTGTGTATTATATTTCATAAGATCATCAAAATTTAAGCTAAGATTGACTTGTTAGTTATAGTTTTGACCATCAAACACCATTCGCACAGAATATAGGTATATTTTGCATAAAAGATACAAGTTAAATGTTTCATTTAATACTTTGTTAATTACTTCTTTCTTTTCATTCTGTGTCTATTCATCAATGTATTTGAGTTGTCAGGTGATTGGTAAAATAAACATTGAAAATTGGTTTCTTTGACAATTAAATTTGTACTACTTTTGTCACGTCTAAAGTAAGAAGGATTCGAATAGAAACTTCATTTCTCAAAATTAATAGATCTTATCATTGGTAAAAAGATTACCACTATATGATAAAACTATTTAATGGTTGTTAGTGTAGTTTTGAAGTACAACTTGAATTAATTTCTAAACATTACGTAGTCAAACTAAATTGAATGAGATACATATGTTGTATGATGTGAAAATGTGAATACCATTTCTATTTTTTATGTTTCAAACCGTTTTATATCATATTCAATATCAAATAACTAAACTAAACTAATGTATCTTAGAATTTCGAATTTATTTATTTTATTTAATTTATCCGTTTGTTTATTTCTTCATTTTCACTATGATTGTAGCTGATTTCATGGCATGTATAGATTGTATATAGTTTTATATAGTTAGTGGGACATATTAATTAAAATGTACGTGAATATATTATCAAGGTTAACGTGCTTTTTCATTATTAAACTGTATTTTTTCATTTTACATAGCATCACCATTGTTCTATGTTCGTGCAAATTTCGATTTTCATGATACGTCTAATAGTCGTTTCTTGAATTTGAAAGGAGGTGATCGAATTGCTGTAGTTAGTCGTGCAGCTGAAGACAGAGGCTGGTGGAAGGGATGGTTAAATGGTCGTGTAAGTTTATACGTCTCTTTTCACATGTTAACATTGTGAAACCCTTGTGTTATATTTTCATACTCAACCGAATTAACGACCCAGTCTATTTTCAATATTAGGTTTAACCATTCAATATTTAGAAATATCGGTTATTTTCCACCTCATTTAAAAACGTTTCTAGTTAATTTTCCTTTGGATTTTCTAAAGAATCGTTTACATGTCAAAGTATTCATCATTTTACTAATTCCTAATAAAATTAAAGTTTTAACGAGAAGTTTTTATGACTATCAATGATTCAGTGTCGTTCACATTTTGTTCTGTTGCGTGATCATATTAAATTGTTTTGACTTACACTAACACTTCAAATATTTTCACTAATTAGTCTTCTACTTATTTATTTTCAAGTAGTCACGCTTCCCTACTATGAAATTACCAGTAATTTTCTTTTGTATATAATCGCTTTTTCTAAGAGTAAATAAATTCTCTCTCTTTCATACCTGTTTTGCATTCGTCTCAAAACTTACATTGTATTAATTTTCATGCAAATTAATGTAATATATAGAATGGTTCATTGTCTTACAGTAATGATCACTGTTAGGGTGATCCAGAAAATTCCTCGAAAACAAGCTCAATAAGCTTTAAAAACTCTGAAAAACATCTTATCCAGGTAGCATTCAATAGAAGCTTTACGAGAAACGTCTAGAAAGTGAATTCATATGTCGCGTTTCTGATTGGATGATTACCTATACTACTATTATGTTTATTAGCGTTTCAGAAATTTCTGGAAATCCAAGGCCATCTAAAATGTTATAAATACCCTAGATTTTCTGTACATAGACGAAACTTGGAGTAAAGCATTTCTTCCATATTTCACGCCTTCTCTCTTGTGTTCATGTTGCTGTGTAGACTTAGCCTGGGGCTTACCGGAAGAACTGAGGAACCAAAGGTATTTCGTCAAATAGTTCTTTTCCGGTGAAGTAATTCACCTTTAATTTCTATATCTTCATAATGCTGTTAAAGGTTTTTTATTAGAAATGATTAGGAGCGGTAACTATGGCCCGTAATAGTTTATTAATATTTTTGAAAAATCAAACTACATTGTTAGAATAAATCTATTCAGTGATTGTTTAATTTCATTTAACCTCTCTTAATATCAGTAAGTTTTTATTGTTGATTCATAAAGTAGAACATAATTTGTCATGCAAAAAATAACTGTATAAACTATTCAATTCACTTCATCAATTCCATCTGATAATTGTCTAGCATTGATTACACAATTCAATCTTAATAAATTCATTCTAGTTCAATCTTCTCAGTGAGATAAGTATTATGTTACCGAATATTATATGATCTATATTCCTTTATAACAAAAACTTGTCAGCTTATTCTATCCTTTTATAGAGTGTTATTTTGAATGAATTAATAACAACTGTTCACTACTTTTCTAAATGTTTATCATTTTTGTAGTGATAATTATCATTGATGTATATAATGTAAAAATTTAAGTAATTTAGTGTAATTCGTATTGTTCTTGTTATTTCTCCATTCCTTTTTTTTTTGTCTAGATTGGATTCTTCCCCATGTCTTTTGTGACAAGAGAGCTATCTGGATGATTATACTGGATTACTATTTTATTTTTGGAAAATTTGTATTCTTTTTTAATCCACTTATTTTGTGAACATCTTTTTACCAAACCCACGTTTATCCTGTCAGAAATCTATACATACAACCCAGTGTAAACTGTGTATTAACAGCGATTTAAACAATGAATTTTTGAATAATTATAACTTTCTTTTGTCACTAATTTATCGTAGTACCTATTGGTTATATGTCTATGTAGAAAGAGAGAGATTTGTATAATAACCATAAGAAATGCAACTCATACATCTCTTATTTTTAGCTAAGTATGTTTTTTCCATCAACACTATATCATTATAATTACTGCTTAATCGTTAGGTAGTTAGTCTGTTTGTTACCATATTATCTGTACGCCTTATTATAAGTATAGTCATTTTTCGCTTCTGTTTATTTTGTACATTCGTGTGCCTTGATCGTTAATTTAGGAAACTAATCAACAATCCATTCAATGTTGTGTAAGTATATATATATATATATATATATATATATATATATATATATATATATATATATATATATATGAAATTACTTAATTCCACTATCCAATCATGGTGTGTAAATAGTGTGTATAATCACATCGAATGTGCATTGTGTATGCGTGTTTCATTTTTTCTTAAAGATTTTAATAGTTTTGTAGTTAACAATTTTTGATTTACCTTTTTGTTTTGTGTATAGCATTTCTGATTTTCAGCGTCATCATGTTTTTTTTCTTATCATTGCTACTTTTCTCTTCCATATGTTTCAAAACACAAAGCATTTACCACTACTTTGATAATGATAACAATATTAATAATAATTAGAACACCAGTAATAATGATCTTTTTGTACTTCCCTGTTTATGATAGCTGTCTTTCTTAATCACAAGTTATCGATGAATTTATTCTACTGTTTTTCTGTCATCCTTGTCTGCTGCACAATGTCTCTTATTGTCTGTGAATGCACACCCACAATCATATTGCTTTGTTACTTTCTACCAGCTTCTTCGCCTCGCCCTATCTGTATATAGTTGGTTTTCCCCCTATCCTCTCATAATCTTGTAATTCCTTGTTTTGTTATGTTTTGACGAATTATGGAAGTGTAAAATGTGAGACAACAGACATTTATTTGTTTTAAACTTTCCCCTTTTTTATTTCATAATTGTCCATGTACTTTCTTCGCGGTTATGGTTTATTTTTATTACCCCATAATTTTCACTATTTTTATCGCTTTGATTTGAAATTATTGTATTCCCTTCGTTTTAAATGTAATGAAAGATAGATAAACAAATGAAATGTGTACAGAAAAACAATAATATTGATCTTTTCTCTAATCAATCTAAAATTTCAGTTATTTGACAGATTTGTGTTTTATTGTACGATATTTTACCAGTACCAGCTTGGATGCAAAAGAAAAAGTGTTTAGTCGATGAATTAATCGCTTTTATTGTCAGGACAATAATCATTTTAATAGTTTATTAATTCATTTGTTAAGGCCTTTTTTTCTTAAATCAGCTGTTCAAATCATGGTTGTTTGTGTCTACATAAACATTAAGGTTATGTAGCTCGATAATTATCATAGGAGAATAATTGATTTTTATTTTATTAAATTAATGAAATGGAAAGAACACATGGATGATCTAAACATATTTGATTTGATCACTGAATGATTGACAAAGGAAAATAAAAGACAATAAAACAAAAATTTTCACGTTTGTCAAATCAATCGCATTTTAGTAATTATCTATCTATCCATTTTATTACAACCCTGTCAATGATATTAAGCACACAGTTATTTGACGATAAAGATTTAACACAACTTTCAAGCGACATTTCGATCCATCAAACACCATAGGCTTATCAGAATTGATGTTTATTCATTTAGATTTTGGACAAAAGTTTTGGTTATTTACAATACAATGGTCATAGTCGAATGTAATTGATTACATTGGAAATGTGTACAATTGTCCTTAGTAAAAGAAGTAATTAATATCGGAGATTTTAAACAGATATAACTCTTAAGCGTATCACATTATCATTATCTTGCGACAATTAAGATCACATTAAAAAGAATATGGACAATTGTAGTAGGCGTCGAGTCGCGGTTGACAATGATCACCACTACAGGAAGACTACATTCCAGTTACCAGTTAGATCCCTCCGTAGACCAAATATCAGAAGACAGTTGAAGGTTGTAGTAAGATGTATTTGTTGGCGATCTCGTGGTATCGAAATAATATCGAGGTCGTACCAAAGTTTACGAGCGGGACTATTGGGCGTACGAGAGTTCGTGCAAGGTCACAAACAACGGAAGAGTGAGTTTTTTGGTACACTTGAACAGGTACAGTAAAACAATCACTGGTACAGTTGGCTATAATAATAATTGTTTTGATTATAACAATCGCGTTCTCCTCATAAAAGTAGGTCACTACACGATGAAGAGTTCATTTAAGAACATATCTAAATTTTTGGATAGATTGCTTGTCTACCGTAGAATCTAATCAAATAAAGGTAAATGCGAAAGTGAAAATTGCCATTAATAAGAAATTTATCTATTTAGTAAGTATTTGCAGTTCATTAGTTATAAAATGTTCTGTTAAGGTATATCAGTCTTGACTGTAAAAATAAGGATTGTTGTCCTAATATTTTTGTAGTTAGAAGTTTGAGTGTCTATTTCGAAAGAAAGATGTAGAATAATGAACCAGCTTATCAAATTTATCTCCAAATAGTATGTCCAGTTACTATCTCAATTAAACTAATATGACAGATACTTGTCGTATGCCTATTTGTCTTTGATACTGATTGGCAGTTGTTTTGGTTTCCATATGTTCTTCAACTGTAGGAATGCTGTTCTTGCTTTGCCAATCCTAGCCTTTACATTTGCATCAGATCCTCCTTGTTCATCGATGATGCTGCCCAGATACATGAACGTTTCCACCTCTTTCAGAATTTTCCCATCAAGTGTTCTCTGTGTTGTGTTTGAGGTTCTTGTTTTCCCCTTATGTATGTTGAGGCATACTGCTGTTACATTGTTTACCTTGACCTGCATTTGTAGATGTGTATGAAATAGAAGGGTTAGGTTAACTGCGAAGTTCAAATCGTTTGGTTGCATTCAACCTGTCTATTGTAATCCGTGCTTGTACTCAGATGTGAAGATCTTCATAATCCAGCTGACAACCAGAAGAAAGAGATAGGGAGAGAGTGAGCAACCTTATCTAACTCTCATCCTCACTTGGAATGAGTCTGTCAGCTGTCCTCAGTACACGACTTTGCACTGTAGTCCGTCGTATGATGTTGATTATCTCAGACATCCTTCTTTCCAGTCTGTCAGTGGCGCTTGTTCTTCCCCACAAATCTTCCTGTATAAAATGTGGAGCATATTTGCAGTTACTTCTGTGTGCGACTTTGGTGCTTCAGCTGGTATATTGTTAGGTCCTGCTGCTTTCCCACTCTTGATTTATCTAATGGCCATCCTGATTTCTTCGATCGTAGGTGGAGTGAAAACTATAGGGAAGTCTGTGTGTTGCTCCGATATCCGATGGATTCAATGGAGATGGTTTATTCAAGAGTTCCTCGAAGTATTCCACCCATCTGTTCCTCTGTTCTTGAATCTCGGTGACTGTCTTGCCTCCTTTGTCCTTGACCGGTCCCTCTGGTTTACTATATTTCCCTTCTAGTTTCTTTGTTGTGTCATATTGTTGTTTCATATTTCCATGTCTTGAAACTTTCCACTCGCGTTGTTAGCTCTTCTACATATTTCTGCTTGTTGGCTCTAATGCTCTTTTTCACCTCTTCGTTTGCTTTTGTGTACTAAGCTTGTGCCCTGACTTTTTCTGCTCTTGTTCGGGTGTTATTGCTTTCTTCTTGTTCTTTCTATCTTTAATCTCGTCCAGCGTTTCGATGAAGATCCATTCCTTATGATGGTGCTTCATGTGGCATATATATACACCTGTCGGGAAAATAATCTCTGTTAAATTTAGCAAAACTATCATAGTTGTTGACATGTTTTTCTTGTAAACTCTAAGTTCAAAAAGGGGCGAGTGACAGGAATTCGCGCACTAAATACATTATATAATCAAAAAAGATGTCACAGAAACGAAGCCAGAAAACAGAACGCTGATGAATAGAGGTGTATGATAGATAATATTATTTAAAAATCATTTTTCTCAACATATTTTCAATATTGATATGCCAAGTAGGTATTAAACGGGAATTTATTGCAATACATGGACCTCATGGCCAAATACATAAATCTAGTTGGTTAAGTGCCTGGTGCGAGAGTGTTAGATCCTGGGTTCGAATCTCGCGAGGTGCGGGGATACGCACTGCCGAGGAGTCCCATACTAGGACAAAACGGCCGTCCAGGTTTTCCATGGTGGTCTAGCTTCAATTGACTTATGATTTCAATCTGTGACATAAATCTACACTTGGTGAATAGATTACTGTTTATCTCCAGAAAGTAAGTTTTTAGTAATAATATATATATATATATATATATATATATATATATATATATATATATATAATTTAAAACAAATTAGCTATCAAATGAACATTTTATGGTTAATAAATAATCTAAGTAAATAAAGTCACCTATTTTGTTCGAAAATCTAAACTTTGAATATTTAAAGTGTGTCTGTACGTCGCCATATGTTTCGATAAACATTTACACAACAACTTTGCAATAGACAGTATTCGGATTTCATGTATATTTATTTTCTCAAACGTTCACATTCGTTTAGACATATTACCCTAGATTTATTGATTATCTGGTAGGAAGTAAAATTTTTCTGTGTATATCACTGAAAGCTTATATTAGATTCGAGAACCGACGGTAAATTATACTCTAGGGTCGACTTTAAACGACTTTTTATTTATTAGAAAATAGAATTTTATCATAGTAGCATTTATCATAAAAAATTAGAAAAATTACGATCTATAAATGGTTAAAAGATGATTATTGAATTATTTATCCTGGCAAACCAGAATCAGGTTACATTTGTAAGCTAGGGCTAGGAAATAGGATTAAGTGTTGGAATTATAACGCATGAACGGTTTGCAGCCATAGTAAAAAATTTCAAATACAGATAATTCCTTGATTTCGAAAAAGTTCATAAATAATATTGAATTATTTTAAGCTCTTCGCTTCCATAGGATTAAGTAGAAAACAAATGTGTTTATTTATCATAACTTATTCCACAAAAACTATTCATTACTAAAAAGTCATTATAAGAACCGTTCAGGTCTAAACCTGTTTTAACTATTATCATTTTTATCAATTTTAAACATCTTAGAAGCCAATGAATTGTGTCGAGTTGGCCTTGAGAGATTATTAAACAGATCTTGTGATTTCAAAGCTGCTTATCATCTTATTGACAGATAGTCTGTATGAGTTAGAATTGTTTC